CTGTGATGTCGTGTGTGTCAGTGAGTGTCGGTGTGTCTGGATGGGTTGCGTTTCTGGGTGGGGTGCATACACCACGTAATGCGCGCGCGTCCCCAACATCTCATCCCCAACATCTCATCCCCAACATCTCATCCCCAACATCTCATCCCCAACATCTCATCCCCAACATCTCATCCCCAACATCTCATCCCCAACATCTCATCCCCAACATCTCATCCCCAACATCTCATCCCCAACATCTCATCCCCAACATCTCATCCCCAACATCTCATCCCCAACATCTCATCCCCAACATCTCATCCCCAACATCTCATCCCCAACATCTCATCCCCGTGACTTCCAACTCCCCCCCATCGCTCTGCGAACGTACGGACCGACCGGCCAACAAGCCAAATCCCCTGTCATCGACCACGACAGCTACAGGGATAATAACAATAACGACAACAGCAGCAGTAATAATAATAATAATGGCAATAATAAATTTTAATTGCGTATGAAATGGAGCGTAGGGGAATGGCCGTTATCGATCGCAGCTGCGATGGAGCCATTGATTGGACCGGACTTCGCGATATGAGCAACACGAGCACGATCCGCGACATCTCGGCCTTTCGGACACGCCGCGCCGATCAGCCCCGATCGGCGCTCGCTCATCGTCCCTGGCGGGCACGGCGGGCGCCACCGTGAGAGAGCCGCCACCGGGGAGCCGGCTGCGACGCCGATATTACAAAATCGTCGCTTGCAGTGCTGCCGTCCTCCCGCTGTCCGTGCACTTGCGCCGATCATTTTTAAATCGTAAACATTTTTTTTTCTCCTTGGGTAATGGCGACGCTTTGCGTTGATTAATTATGCAGGCGGCTCCTGTTTGCTGCTGCTGCTGCTTGTTGTTTCCGCTGCGATGAAGGTAAGGGACCGTGCGGATGTGGCGCGGGACTCGATGGTCTGTGAGTGGATACTGGGGGTCTGTGTGTAGACTGGGGGGTCAGTGTGGATGGTAGAGGTCTCTGTAGATACCGGGGGTTTATGTGGATACTGGGGGTCTGTGTGGATACTGGGGGTCTGTGTGGATGGTAAGTCTAGATACTGTGTGTAGACTGGGGGCCTGTGTGGATGGTGAGGGTTGTGTGGATGATTAAGATCTGTGTGGATACTGGGGGTTTGTGTGGATGGTAAGGGTCTCTCTAGAGACTGGGGGTCTGTGTGTGGATACCAGGGGTCTTTGTGGACAGTGAGGGTCTGTGTGTGGATACCAGGGGTCTGTTTGTGGATACTGGGGGTCTGTGTTAATGGTGGCGTTACCGTGGATGGTCAGGGTGGTGCCGATCCATGTATGAATGGGGGGGGGGGGGGGTGTATAATCTGTGGGTAAAACAAAAGCGTTTTGTTGTCTTCCTGCGTCGGAAGTGTCACACGAATAACAAACTCAACGTATTCGTCATCAGCACTGCCTGATGGATGCAAACTATGAAATGGGCGACGTTTCGGTTGATGGCCCTTCTACATAGCGGAGAGGTCCGTTGGGTGATGTGGGTTCAGCGCTCATGTGGGGTGTGGCTGAGATGATCGGTTCCGTTTGCCGAAGACGGTCCGGCCTGTGGGAATCGACTTTTAAACTCCCGTTAATTAATCTCTGTTTTCGATTCCGCTCTCGCCACCGCCTCTGCCACCGCCGATTGCGAGCGGGTCGTGCATGCGCGCGCGCAAGAGATTCCCCGCGGGATTTATTTTCCCTGTCGTGACCGGGGGAACGGAAGCGTCGTACAAAGCAGAATACTCCCAAAAATGTTTTTGGCGAAGTGGCCAATTTGTACAGGGGATCCCCACCCGCCTCCTCCTGAAGATGAGTCTTGGGACTCGGGGCGAGCCTTTCCTGAGCAGGGGGGCCCGTGGAGATCGGTGGTCGATCCTTGCCGCTTTACAGGTGAAGTTTAAAAGCGTGTCCGTCTGACACAGGGTGGGGGGGTGGGGTGGGGGTGGCGCGCCACGATCGCTCTCGCAGCGATGGTCTCATCTCCATGGGACGTTAGTTTGGCATCGTGTTTGCCGGATAGGGACTTTGCGTTTTCGGAGGAAGCCGGCCGCGTCGTTGAAAAAAGCCCTTCGACTGCAATCGGGGGACAAAAAAAAAGCCAGAGCGAAAATAACTCGGCAGTAACCGCGTTATAACACTCACCGCGCTGCTAACGATCTCCTTCCCCTCCCCCACGCCCCTCCTTCACGACGAGCGTAGCTGCAGGAAACGCATCACCCTGCTGTCAGTTTGTGCGTCCGTCAGCCGCCCCCCGCGCGTTTCGATCGTACGCGCCGCCAAACACTCAGTCGTCGTTTTATCACGCCGTACTGCACTGTACTATATTGTACAGTACACTAATATACAACTGTATGGTGATTGCTCTGCACATGCATCCGTGTGTGTCGGTGGTGACGGGAGCAGTACAACTTTGTTGTACGACCCGAGACCCCGGTACCCGTGCAAGTTTCTCGGCGACGCGGCGATGGTGCGTTCATGTTCGCATTGTCCTTTAAGAGCGGGACTCGTGAACACCCCCTGATCTGTTGCGGTGAGAACTCTCTTCTGGTTCCGTAAGCGGTTTGTCACATCGAGGTCGTACCCGCGGTTGCAAATGCGCGACCGCGGTTTGCCATCACGGCCATCGGTCAGCTTTCACATTGCCCCAATCGGACGCTTGGGCAATGTCGTCGGGCAGCGCTAGGGATTCCATGCCCTACGCATTATTCTTCTTCCCTGTTTATGACAATAATAATAACGACTAAACTTTTTTTTTTTACCATGTAAGGCCCAACTGAGCTGTGTAGAGCTCTTTTTCAGAAGTGACCTGCCGAGCACAAATGATAGCTCAACGAAGCGGCTTATCATCACGTGGACGTTTATGGCAGTTAAATAATCTAAACTTGTGACGTTGATTCTAAATGTGGAGAGAAAATGAAAGGAACCGGAGAAAAATCCATGTGACCACGGGCAGAGAGTGAGAGAGAGATACAAACGTATACCACAGAAATACAGGTGTCAGGGCCGAGATCGAACCCACGACCTCTTGCATACCAGACGAGGGAGATAACATCTCACCACCGTCGCGCTCCACCGGCGTCGACGGGCGATTGGCACGCGCTCGTCCCCCCGGGAAAGGCGATGATGCGAACGCGCGCCGCGTTCGTACGCAGTCCTCGGCGCGACGCGTGAGGGGGGTGCAGTGGATTCAGCCGTGAGCTTCAGAACCGCGGAGGTCGTGGCGCCAAGAGCCGGAGTGGGGAAGTCGCTGAGTGTGGTGGATGAAGTAGCCCTGTGGTCTCCGTTTTTTTCCTCTTCTCCTCCGGAGCGATTGTTAATCATTTCTGCCCGTGCGCTCGTTTTGATTGACCGCACGATGCTGATGAGCGCCTGCTTCGGCGCAGGGTTTTTTGCGAGTTCCTCCATTTGGGTCGGCGCGTTTTATTTTCTCGTTCTTGCATTTGCGTTGTTTTAAAGTAGCGCCTTCAAGATTTCACGGTCGAAAGCGTTCACGCGGTAGATTCTGTTTTGTCCCTCCGTCCGCAAAGTAGCTACACGCTTGGGACTTGCTACAGCATAAGCTCCTCTATCCGGCACCCGTGGGGAATGGAGGGGGTGCCGGTTAATCAGATTACGGCGGTTATCTGAGAGTCGTACTTGCATAAAACTTTCAAGAAATAAACTTAAGCCTACATTCTCACTGTGCCATAACAAATAAGTGACCTTTACAGAGGTACTCACCAGTCCCTTTTAGAGCATTCTAAGTTGATTGTAGCGAGCGGTGGGGCCGTGCAGAGTGTGCAAACTGCCACTCGCACCACCACTCGGCAGCGTCCTGAAGATCCCGTAAACAGCAATGGATCTACGGTAAGCGCACGGCAAGATGCCAGATGGCTGTCGGAATTTTTCTGGATACGTGAAGGAAGACTTGTATTGCCGGCTGACAGATGCCAGTTAATAGAGCGTTCCGGATGGTCGAATGCCGGATGACAGAGCTTTTGCTGTCTATAGAAAAACAGCCGCATTAAAAGAGTGGCGCAATACTTTGGCGATCACTTAAAAAAAACAACACCGTTATATATGGATAAGCCTGTGGGGCCTAGGTGACGATGTCATTCGGTGTGACATCATCAGTCTACGTTACTACATGCGAGCGTCTCTGATGCCGATGACATCATCTTGTGACTTCATCTTGTTGTGTGGCTCAGAATTTGACATCCCAATTAAAACACTTCCGAGGACAAGTGTGTGCTGGAGGGGAGGGTGTTACGGAATCTGTGTATTTGTACGATTTTCCTTCCCCTGCTTTTACCGCCGGCTGAGCGATTCCTCTCTCGTCCCTCGTAAACGGCAACGCCAAGCCGGGGGCGGCGGTGGGGTGGAAGCGCGCCGCCCGCGTCCTGTACGCACGGCGAAGTTGCGTGCGTCCACGTTAAAATCGGCGCGATTATAATCGGCACTTGCCTACGGCCGGCACCGGCTGTCCCGTCGACCGCACCGCCCCCCCGCCCTCTTCCACCTCCCGTGAAGCGCAAACCGGCACACCCCGTGGTGGGCGGTCTTTTTCGGGCAGGTGGATCCTGTGCCGCAGGTGGGATCCTGTGCCGCAGGGCGAGTGCGGTGAGCTCCGTGCGCCGGGGTGGCCGTCGCGTGCAGGTGGCGCTTTGCTCCATCGCGGCGTGTTGCCCCGCGCGTCGTCGGCTGGTGGCGGTTACCAATCTTGTGGCTCTCTGTGTCTGTGTCAAAGTGTGTGGTATTTGTGTCTCTGTGTATCCGTGTTTGTGCCTGTGTCTACCCGTTAATGTGCATATCTGTGTTTTCTGGGTGCCTGCCCATGTGTGTGTGCGCCTCAGTGCCCATGTGTGAGTGTTTCTGTGCGCGTGTGCTCACGTGCGTTGCTCTGCCTCTGCCCGTCTGCGTGTGCACGTATGCCCGTGCGTTCACCCTCTCACGCGTTCCTCCATCTCTCTCTCTCTCGGTCTCTCACACCCAGGTCCCACAGATGGTCCCTCTGAGCCACCAGGAGACCGTCGCCACCCAACCCGACACGACCACGCTGAAGCCCGGCCGCAAGGGCAAGCGCAAGCGCGCGTCCCAGGACGACGAAGGCGGCGGCGGCGATGCCGATGCCGACCCCAACGGGCAGGGCCAGGCCAAGGCCAAGGGCGGCCGGGGCCCGGGCAAGGCCAAGGGCCCCGGCCGCAAGAAGCAGTCGCAGGAGAAGGCGAGCGACAAGGCCAGCCGCATCGTCGCGGAGGCCATCGCGAAGGCGCGGGCGCGGGGGGAGACCGACATCCCCCGCGTGCTGGCGCCGGCCGAGATGCACGACGGGCGTCCGCTGGGGCAGCCGGCGGGGCTCGACGCCGGCGGCGACCTCGACATCGCGCTGCCGCAGGCCAAGAAGCCCAAGAAGAAGGCCGCGGCTGGCGCCGCTGCCCCCCCCAAGGAGCCCAAGGCCCCCAAGGAGCCCAAGAAGCCCAAGGAGCCCAAGGAGCCCAAGAAACCCAAGGAGAAGAAGGAGAGGAAGCCCAAGACGGCCACCTCTACGACGCAGCCCAAAGCGAAGGCCGGCAAGAAGAACAGGTAGGGGGTGTTGGTGAGGTCAGGTGGGGTGTTGGTGAGGTCAGGTGGGGTGTTGGTGAGGTCAGGTGGGGTGTTGGTGAGGTCAGGTGGGGTGTTGGTGAGGTCAGGTGGGGTGTTGGTGAGGTCAGGTGGGGTGTTGGTGAGGTCAGGTGGGGTGTTGGTGGGGTCAGGTGGGGTGTTGGTGAGGTCAGGTGGGGTGTTGGTGAGGTCAGGTGGGGTGTTGGTGAGGTCAGGTGGGGTGTTGGTGAGGTCAGGTGGGGTGTTGGTGGTGTCAGGTGGGGTGTTGGTGAGGTCAGGTGGCAGTAGTGGTGGGATCAGGTGGGGTGTTGGTGAGGTCAGGTGGGGTGTTGGTGAGGTCAGGTGGCAGTAGTGGTGGGATCAGGTGGGGTGTTGGTGAGGTCAGGTGGGGTGTTGGTGAGGTCAGGTGGGGTGTTGGTGAGGTCAGGTGGGGTGTTGGTGAGGTCAGGTGGGGTGTTGGTGAGGTCAGGTGGGGTGTTGGTGAGGTCAGGTGGGGTGTTGGTGGGGTCAGGTGGGGTGTTGGTGAGGTCAGGTGGCAGTAGTGGTGAGGTCAGGTGGGGTGTTGGTGAGGTCAGGTGGGGTGTTGGTGAGGTCAGGTGGGGTGTTGGTGAGGTCAGGTGGGGTGTTGGTGAGGTCAGGTGGGGTGTTGGTGAGGTCAGGTGGGGTGTTGGTGAGGTCAGGTGGGGTGTTGGTGAGGTCAGGTGGGGTGTTGGTGAGGTCTGGTGGGGTGTTGGTGAGGTCAGGTGGGGTGTTGGTGAGGTCAGGTGGGGTGTTGGTGGGGTCAGGTGGGGTGTTGGTGAGGTCAGGTGGGAGTAGTGGTGAGGTCAGGTGGGGTGTTGGTGAGGTCAGGTGGGGTGTTGGTGAGGTCAGGTGGGAGTAGTGGTGAGGTCAGGTGGGGTGTTGGTGAGGTCAGGTGGGGTGTTGGTGAGGTCAGGTGGGAGTAGTGGCGGGATCAGGTGGCAGTAGTGGTGGGATCAGGTGGGGTGTTGGTGAGGTCAGGTGGGGTGTTGGTGAGGTCAGGTGGGGTGTTGGTGGGGTCAGGTGGCAGTAGTGGTGAGGTCAGGTGGGGTGTTGGTGAGGTCAGGTGGGGTGTTGGTGAGGTCAGGTGGGGTGTTGGTGAGGTCAGGTGGGGTGTTGGTGAGGTCAGGTGGCAGTAGTGGTGAGGTCAGGTGGGGTGTTGGTGAGGTCAGGTGGGGTGTTGGTGAGGTCAGGTGGGGTGTTGGTGAGGTCAGGTGGGGTGTTGGTGAGGTCAGGTGGCAGTAGTGGTGAGGTCAGGTGGGGTGTTGGTGAGGTCAGGTGGGGTGTTGGTGAGGTCAGGTGGGGTGTTGGTGAGGTCAGGTGGGGTGTTGGTGAGGTCAGGTGGGGTGTTGGTGAGGTCAGGTGGGGTGTTGGTGAGGTCAGGTGGGGTGTTGGTGAGGTCAGGTGGGGTGTTGGTGAGGTCAGGTGGGGTGTTGGTGAGGTCAGGTGGGGTGTTGGTGAGGTCAGGTGGGGTGTTGGTGAGGTCAGGTGGGGTGTTGGTGAGGTCAGGTGGGGTGTTGGTGAGGTCAGGTGGGGTGTTGGTGAGGTCAGGTGGGGTGTTGGTGAGGTCAGGTGGGGTGTTGGTGAGGTCAGGTGGGGTGTTGGTGAGGTCAGGTGGGGTGTTGGTGAGGTCAGGTGGGGTGTTGGTGAGGTCAGGTGGGGTGTTGGTGAGGTCAGGTGGGGTGTTGGTGAGGTCAGGTGGGGTGTTGGTGAGGTCAGGTGGGGTGTTGGTGAGGTCAGGTGGGGTGTTGGTGAGGTCAGGTGGGGTGTTGGTGAGGTCAGGTGGGGTGTTGGTGAGGTCAGGTGGGGTGTTGGTGGGATCAGGTGGGGTGTTGGTGGGGTCAGGTGGGGGGTAGTGGTGAGGTCAGGTGGGAGTAGTGGTGGGATCAGGTGGGGGGTAGTGGTCAGGTCAGGTGGGGGGGGGGGGGAATTGGTGGGATCAAGAGGGGGGTAGTGGTGAGGTCAGGAGGGAGTAGTGGTGGGATCAGGTGGGGGGTAGTGATGAGGTTACGTGGGGAGTAGTGGTGAGGTCAGATGGGGGGGGGGTAGTGGTGAGGTCAGGTGGGGCATCGGGGGTGAGAACGTGGCGCTGTGCTGCCCTGGGGGCCTGGGTAGCACTGTGAGGAGCGTCACCGCTTTGGGCGTAGGAACGTCCCTTCCTCAGTTGTGGTTATTCTAGGACTCGTTAGGCAGTGTTGCACTTTGCCACGTACTCTCTTTGTAGAGATGCTGTATGGTAGAGACGTAGGGGATCTCTGAACAAAAAGCAAGTGATTGAGTTTGAAGCAGTGATACGCGGAGCGAAGTGCACCAGAATTCAGCGTTGTACTGCACACTCTGTACCGCCTCTGGTCCCCGCCATCATCCACCCCCGCACTGAACGCCGTGGCGAAGCGTAGTCAAATAGCCCCCCACGACCCACGTGCCGTCGGAGGCCTTCATCCGGAAGCGGATGATCGGACGCGAGTTGACCGTTCGCAGTTTCGGTGTGCGTGCGTGTGTATGTGTGTGGGGAGCGCGGTATTGCAGCGGTTAGCTCGCTGCACCATGAGCCTGGCGACACAAGTTCGATTACCGCTCACGGCCAACACCGGTGACAATTATCTGAATCGGTCCTGGGCCCCCTCCCCTCTGTCGACTCGGCATAAAACGAGTAACTGATGTGGTGTGTTAAACATCGCCACTAGGGGACAGTCGGCCGGCCGTGGAGTTGGCCACCCACCCCCTCGTTTGCGTGCCGTGCCGGCCTTCACAGGTGCAACTCGCTTAACAGCGCTCGCCCCAACGGTCTGTTAAGGCTACACGGGGGATCATTGTGCGTGTCGTGCGTGCTCGTGGCAGCAAACCTCCGGTGTCGCCCGGCTCGCTAAAGAAGAGCAAGAAGAGGAAAGGGGAGCTCTCGCCGGACCACTCGGACATGGAGCGCACGCCGCCTCCCTCTCCACCCGAGGAGGAGAGCCTGATCGAGGTAAGCGGCCCGTCCCCTCGCCGCCTCCTCGCTCTTCTCCCATCCCCGCACCTCTCGCCGTCTCGCCCCTACTCGGTCTCTCCCTCTACTCCTCGAGTCGCCGTTTTTATTATTTCGATTTTCTTCCTTACGACGCAGCCGCCGCCGACCTGTGGAACTCGAATCGAGTCTTCATCTGGAGTGTCTGAAGCGGTCGCCCATGTAGTCCACTCCTGGCTCAACAGGCCCCCCCAATGTCTGACGGGTGTTGGCCAAACGTCCCAATGCAGGGTCTTCCTGAACAAGCATCTTTGGACTCATTGTGGCTTTTCCGCGTGGATAATTTGGCTGCCATAAATTTCCACACGATCAACCACTTTGTTGAGCTATCATTTGTGGCCAGGTCCCTTCTGAAAAAGAGCTATAGAGCTCAGTGGGCCTTGCCTGCTAAAATAAAAAGTAGTTTTAGTTTTCAGTTTTCCTAATGGGGGCCCGTCTCTCGGGCAAGGCCCCAACCGTTCTGCCGCTGGTGACCGCTGGTTAGGTTTTGAACATCGCGGTTGTCTCTCCTCCCCGAACCTCCTGCCCGACAATCGACGCTCACCCTCGGCTGAGCGGGAGCCAGCTGACGGTGGCAAGGCGGTGGCGCCGGTATCACAGCGGTGATTCGATATGAGATGTGACGGACACGTCGGGAATTATTATTGAAGCTTATCGCTGGCGGAGGGAGGGCGCGTAGGAGGGGCAGTGCGATGATAAGAGGCCGGTGGCTGGGAAGCATGCGAGGTGTGTGCGCGCGTGTGTAGCGGGGAGCGGTAGTGCAGCGGGGAGCGGTAGTGCAGCGGGGAGCGGTAGTGCAGCGGGGAGCGGTAGTGCAGCGGTTAGCGCGCTGCGCTACGAACCCGGTGACCCGAGTTCAATTTCTGCTCGCGGCCAACATCGGTGACGATTATCAGAACTGGTCCTGGGCCTTCCCCTAGGCTGACTCGGCCTCAAACGAGTACCTGGTGCGGTGTGTCAACATCGCCACTGTGTAGCCAAAGGCGGTCGGGCGTGGTGCTGGCCTTCATAGGTGCGACTCGCTCGCAGCACTTGGCCCAATGGTCTGTTGAGTCCCTGAAGGCTATACGGGGGGGGGTCCTTTGTCTTTATGCGTGTGCCACATGCGCACACACACACTTGATGCTCCCCATGGAGGAGAAGGTTGACGTCCCAGACGTGCTGCATACGTTTCCGTGGTGGTGGCCTACTGCTCATCTCTCTCTCTCTATCCTCGGTGCGTTTTTGGGTTGTACCCACTAGAGAGGTTGTAATGGCACGATGCCCGACGGTTCGGCTCCGGCGTGAGGAACCAAACGTCGGACACCGCGGGCACGACCCAGAAAAGCCGCCGGAGGGATGTTGCGTCTGTGCCGCGCTCACACCGCGTTGTGGATGAATCGACCAAAGTTTGCGTTGAGCAAAAGTTAACTTCTGCACGTGCCGTGCAGAGTTCTTTACGGAATTACATTCGAATATTAGACGGGGGTGTACGGACGTACAGCATTCTCGTACTGGGGCACAAGGACACGCGTGCTCGGCCCTTCCCCCCACCGAGCGCCGGCGTCGGGGCTCCACAAACTCCTCTCTAACAGCAGCGGTGGGCATCCCTCCGTCCCTTCTCTCCCCCCCTCCCTCCCTTCTCTCTCCCTTCCCTTCCTCCCCTCCCTCTCTTCTCTCCCTCCCTTCTCTTCTTCCTCCCCTCCCTAACTTCTCCCCCCCCTCCCTTCTCTCCCCCCTCCCTCCCCTTCCTCCCCTCCCTCCCTTCTCCTCTCCCTCCTTTCCCCCCTCCATCCCTCCCTCCCTCCTCTCTCCTCCCTCTCCTCCCTGCTTCCCTTCCCGTAGAAGCGGCGCTCGAACCGGCACGTGAAGCGCAAGCGCTACACTGAGGACCTGGAGATGAAGCTAACCGACGACGACGGCGACGACGACGAGGAGGTGGACGTGACGGGGACTGGCGCCAGCCCGGTGGGCCGCTCGGCCCAGCACGGCGCGGTGAGCACCACGCCGGCGCTGGCGGCGAGCGCTGGCCGACTCCGTGCTCCGCGGTCGTTGATCACCGGCTGTTGCCGCCGCGGCAGCAGCGCGGTGTCTAAATCTCCTTCCGTTCGATTGACCCTAAAGTTCGAGTCGGAGCTATCGGCCTTTCCGCTCCGCCCTCCTTCCTCTCCCCCTCTCTCTCCTCTCCTCTTTGCTGCCCACTTTGTCTCTTTTTTATTGTTTCCCACCCCCCCCACCACCCCCAGATCGTAGTTCCCTCCGTTTTTATTTAAAGCTGCTGCCTCCTCCTCCGTCTCGCTCAGCCCAGCTGTTGTGTGTAGGGTGGGGGGGGGGGGAGCTAAAAGACTGCGAGAGAGGAGAAAGGGAAATGTTAACGGCGGTAGCTAACGGGGGCGGGGGGGGGGGGATGCATGACGGTCGGCAAATAGTCTCGGCGCATCGTGACATCTGCGGCGGAGAAAGGAAAGGTAAAGGTCGCGGCATGGATTATACGGACGAATGGCGCGCTGAGCCTTGAGGGGTGGGGCCTGCGTGCGAGTGAGTGGGTGGCCGATCCTCGCTGATGAGTCTGATGACGATGATAACGATGATGATGATGCCTCCTGCCCCGCGGCACTAACGGTATCGACCGCCGCCTTCCGCGTGCGTTAGAATGCGGCGGGGGTGACGGCTGGGCGCCGAGCTGGGAGGGATGTGGGGGGGGCGGGAGCGCGGAGGCCACCGGGGATTGGAGGCGGTGGGGGTGGGTGAGCGATGGCGTGCAGCGGCCACGGGGAGGAGGAGCAGGCTGCGGGGGACAGGAGGAGGAGGGGAGAGCGGGCTGAGGGCACGTGGGGTGGCGAGCTAGGGGGGGGGGTGGGTAGGTGATGACGATTCATGCCTGGCTTGTGGTGGTCGATAGACCCGTGACAAACTCGCTCCTCCGTGGGCTGCGTGTGGCCGGGCTCCCTACTACATGGGCCGCGCGCTGCCCGCCCCTCGGTTCAGTTCCCCCACCAATCCCCCCCTCCTCACCAAGGAGTGCTTTTACAACAGCTGGAGTTGCACGTGCCCCCGGCACACCGCGCGTGAGTGCGTGCGTAAGGTATGCGGCGTGCGCGGCGGTGATGAAATGTCACGACGCCGCTGGAGAAATCCATCCTTTTTCGTTCCTCTCGTGTTTTTTTTTCCGTCATTTCTTTCGTTTCTTGTGGGTTGTTTTTTTTTTCTTTCCCGTTTACATTGGCACGTTTTTTTTTTTGCTCTCCTCCCTTACCATCGTCTTTAAGTTATATTTCGCGGTTGTTCCGCACGGCTCCGCGATGCGATGCGCTTCTCGCGTCCGCCAATCGTTGCCCGTCCGTGACGTTCCGCCACCGTTTTTGCTCCACGTGCCGGCAGCGCGCCCGGCAACGCGCCCGGCAACGCACGCGGGCGTGCGGGGGGGGGGGGGAGCTCTTGTGTGTTGCTCGCTGAAAATAAACAAACCACGGGGTACCCTGCGGCGTTGGAACGTCGCTCTGCAAGATACGGCGCCCCGACCCCTGACGATGCCCTGCTGCTGCTGCTGGATATTTGGAGTTTGCGGTGTCTCTCTCTCTCTCTTTCCCCGTGTTCGCGTGGATTTTTCTCCGGGCCCTCCGGTTTTTCCCCTCCACTTTCAGAATCGATGTCACGTGTTCACAGTTATTTGGCGGCTGCTGCTGCTGCTGTGAATTTCCACATGATGACGACGATGATAAGCCGCTTCGTTGGGCTGTCATTCGTGACGGCCAGGATTGCTTCTGAAAACGGGCCGCGTAGCTCAGTGTGTGGGCCTTATCCGGTAAAATAAAAAAATACGTGAATCGTTTTCAGGAGGGGTCCTTCCAAGTTTTGGTCGTGGTATGGGGAGGCGAATGGTGCCGTGTGTGATCAAAATGGTGTGGTTTGTAGTAATATTTTACACTTGATGTTTTTGCCCGGGTTTCATTGTATTTGGATTTAATCGCCGCTGTGGCAGGGAAACCATTACGTGACAAGTAAAAAAGATAATATTCCTCTCCTTTAATAAATCGGTTACCCTGATAACCAGGTCAGAGCGCATTGAGGTATTAGTACAAACTGGCAAAGGGGAGACTTGCGGGAGTGACTGCAAGGACAAGTGGAAATCATCCATCTGGGCCGAGCTGCGCTCAGACTTCTCATCGTTCAAGGCTCGGCTAATGACTCGTGAGCGCAGCACCCTGCCTCTGCCATCTCGCCTTAATTGCTCTCATTAATTAATTACCCTTATTAATGTCGGAACATTTCCGTGTACAATCAAATCGCCGCTCAACCGCGCCCGATCTCGGCGGATGTCGGAAGCTGTGCAGTGGCGCGAACCTGGATTAGCGGCCCCATCGCCGCGGCCACCACCACCACCACCACCCAGGGCTTGCCAGGTGTTGTCGGCGCGGGGCTGTGGTGAGGTGTGGCCAGGAGGTGGCGGTGCTGAGTGTCTCCCCCCCTCCGTTTACAGTGTGGGGCTGACCTAATCAACTTATCGCGGGTCTAAATAGCGGTTGGACAACTAAAACAGCTCGCATTTTATATCAGGCCCATAATGTAACAAATTCCTCCGAGTGCAGTATTTGGTCTAAGGGCCTGCCCCCGGCGGCAGCTGTTCCCCGTTGGCGCGGGGCAGTGAAGGAGCTGCTCGTGTGTGTCGTGTCAACGATTCAGCGACAGTTTCTAGGAGGCACCTTCTTCATGAGCAACTTTCACGGTTTTGTCCACACACTCTCCACAGTAGCTTAGCCCAGCCTGTACACAGCACTAGCCGCCTAACACTGACGGCGCCGACTGCGATAGCCAACTCCTCTCCTTCGTAGCGCAATATCTAGCGGAGACGTTTAGCGACGACGGCGACGAGACGACAGGGACGACGAGACGAGTCCACTCCCAGAACCGGCAGCCTCGAGCCCCCCGCTCTCGGCTCCTTTTATGCTCCCGGCGCGGCCTGGCACCGCCCTGACCGCGCCTCCCTTCTCGAACCCGCTAGCAGGTTCCAGGGACCTCCAGACGGGGTCCTCCGTGACCCTTACTCTAGTTCCTCTACTCTGCTGATACATCGCGCACGCCCTCACCGGCGTGTGCCCTGTCTGTCCACCGCAGCTGCCGCTCCTGTCCACCAGCCAGCGCTATTACACTACACGTGTGTGTCACGTGTGTCGCGTGTGGCAGTGAAGGAGCCGCTCGCGTGTGTCTTTGCGCGTACGCAGGAACATCTGGGCGAGGAGGAGGCGGCGGTCGTCGACAAAATCCTGGCGATAAGGACGACCCGGAACGAGGTGGGAGGCTGTTATTTTTATTTACGCGTTGCCCGAACACGGCAGGAGATCGTTCGGCACACTCGCAGGGGGCAACCTGTTGCTCGTTCGCCCGTGCCTGCTGCAGTCGGGTTATCGGAGCCAATTGTGCGACCCAGCCACACCCCGTGTGACTTATGGGTTAAACGTTCGGTTTTTGAGTGTGACGTTACTCTCGTCTGTCCACGTTTGGCGGTTGCTTTGCCTCATTGCTGTGCGGTCTGTTCTCCTATAACGCGGCGGTAGTAGTTTCGTTCCTAAAGAACACCGCGTTATGGAAACATCGCGTTGTAATTAATAATATATAATATAGGTTAAAGCGACAGTCCGCGATAACACGTGAGATGCGTATGCAGGCCGAACAAAGACTGAGGCGTGTGGGTAGCATCTAAGAAGCATCCAGCAGCATGCCGCCTTTGTGTGATCCTACACCGTGGCAGCCGCACAACCGCGTATTCCTACTCGCGCGACGTAGTTCCGTTCACTCGATGGCATTATATCCAATTCGCGTTATATAAACACGCGGCGCTATAGGAGAATAGACGGTACGTGGTTTTTGTTTGTTGGGCTTTTTGTCATTTTTGTGACAGTTTAGGGGTCACTCTTGTGAATGTGAGAATCCTCCTCTCCTGGTCTTTCACGAGTTCTCGCACCGGGCACACAGAATCAAAGTGCAAACTTGAGCCCACTCACATGAAACATCCACCCAAACCACTCGCTCATTCACTTGCTCATTTATTCAGTTACTCACTCAACCATCGCCCCACCCAAACCACTCGCTCGCTCACTCGCTCACTCACTCACTAACTCAACCATCCAACCACCAAACCACTTACTCATTCACCCACTCGCTCACCCAGTTCACGAGACTCCTATCCTGGTCTCTTGAGTGTTGACACTCGTTGAATGAAATTATCTTGAAACTTAATTTATTTCACACAGCCCAATTTCTCGACGGCGCTGATATTACGTACTCCCACAAGGCCGTTTTGCTGATGGGATGTGTACAGAGTACTTGGGTTCTTTTTAGGTGGTGGGAAGGAGGCTATAATCATGCGATTAATCTCTTCGATTGTGACCGAAGGATTGGGACTCTCACCATGCCTTGCATGTCACTTGATGTCACCACCCCGGGCGTGTAATGCGCCACAGCCATCCTTGATTTAGGTCATCGAAAGTCAAAAGTCTAATTCTTCATTATTTTAGACTGCAGAAACAGACAATTTAGACGCCTGAGAATGAGTTGAATCGCTGTAAGAAATCATCAGTACAGTATCGCCTTTGTTGCCTACTGCAGCCTTGTGTGTTGGGGGCTTTGTCTGTGACCATCCGGTCCGTGTCAGTGGGGACGATCTGGTTTTTACTGCCTGTGTGTCCGTGTGTGTGTGTGTTCACGTGGCGGTTACAAACCCACCAACCACCCACCTTCTAATGTGCCATGCCAGCCATTTACAGGTTCTACTCGTTAGCGGCACTCGCCTCGACATCCTATCAAAGGCAATACGGGGGTGGGGTGGATCTATATTTTTGTGTGTGCACACAGAGCGGAGTGCCGGGTGGCTAAAACACAGCAAGTTGGCATAGCAGGGGGCACAGGTAGTGCATCGACCAGTCATCTCAGTCAACTCACGGCACCTGCTGGCTCTGTCCCGTGACCTCTTGCCAGCGGGCGTACGACACTTCACATGGCCTTAACGTGCACATGGCCACTTAATGGCGAATGACGGTTGTTGCTGTTTGTTGTGTTTACACGCGCTTGTGCGTGTTCCGCCAGCTGCCTTCCGGCGAGGGTTCCGTCGATGTCGAGGAATTCTACGTCAAGTACAAGAACTAGTAAGTACGCAACGGGGCAGCGCTGTCGTGTTACTTATCACCCACGATTTTATCAACGCGCGAGAGTCTCTCTTTGTCTGGGCCTCCGCCGATGGGAGATAGGACCCTGGGTGGGGCGGTGGGGGCGCGGGTGTCTCGTGGAACAACCGAGGGCACTTCCACGGATTGTGTAATCTCGCGGTCAAAATTTCTAAATCCGAATGGGAGTGGCGAGGTGTCAATAATAATAATATTATGACCCGGGTGGGGGGGTGGTTGGAGGCGGTGTCAGTGTGACGGTGTTCACGGCAACATCTAAAATCGCACACGCAGAGGTTGCTAACGTGCATGTGGCCTTATCCAGGCCACCAGCTCGGCAGAACTGGATGTGTGGCCGTTTTGTCGTTTCGAACCACCAATTCTGTAAAGAGTTGAGGACATGTTACCGCCCCAACAACAGGTAGCAGAGTGGGACATGAGCACGCTAATGGTACGCTGATGCTACTTTCATCCAGCTGGAGAGAAACGAGGCAGGGCAACCGCACAAACTTATCAATGAGACTGTGATGACGAAAGAAAAGTAACTGATCCTTGACTTGAATCATAACCACTGGTCGCGACCTATTTGTGGAGTCGCCGGACAGTGAATTGTTAGCTGGGACCGTAGCCCTCTAATGGCAAAGAAAACAGATGCGGTCTTGGTGTCAGATACATGACAAGAGCGGTGCTTCTGGGCACGATAGAACCAAGAAATGCCTGGCCCAGTGCCTGCTTATTCCGGCTTGTTCTCTGCAGCGGCAGCAGTAGCAGCAGCGGTAGCAGCGGTAGCAGCAGTAGCAGCAGCAGTAGCAGCAGCGGTAGCAGTAGTAGCAGCAGTAGCAGCAGTGGTAGCAGTAGCAGCAGTAGTAGTAGTAGTCGTGGCAGTGGCAGCAGCAGCAGCGGGCCGACGTGCGTGAATTTCCGTGCAGAGCTCAGCACTTGGAGCCCACGGTGCAAAACGATGAATGAAAGTGGCCAGATAGTAATATGTGGTGCCCCCCCCCTCCCCCCGCCCTGTCCCCCAGCTCGTACCTGCACTGCGAGTGGGCCACCGTGCCGCACCTGGAGCGGGACAAGCGTGTCCACCAGAAGATCAAGCGCTACAAGGCCAAGCAGGCGCTGCTCAACAACTTCTTTGCCGAGGTGGGGAGGCCGCGGCTCTCCCACCCCGGTGGACACCCCCCCAACCCCCCAACCCCCAAAACTTTATTGCAAATCAGTTTAAAAAACCAAACATAAAAAACCTCAATGTGTTCCAAGTGCCGCAGTGCACGAGACGGTGGACGTAGAATCAATGTCAACTTGCTGAACCCTGCCCCCCCCCCCCCCCTCAAGGATATCTGTTTTAAAAGAGCTTCATAGCTCATAAGATTCCTCTAGTCCCCCGAAAGGTTCTGATTCTGCACACTTTATTCGATTGGCTTTGTCGGGTGGCCGCACAACTTCGGGCATCCTCGCAGCGGCTTTTGGCTGACCATGGAACAAAGATGGTCACTGTATTGCGCGCTTTCAGATGCGCCCCAGACGGTTCTGCAGCCGTCTGGAATGCTCTTCTGATATGATGAAGCTACTGGAGCTTCACACTTTAAAATCATCTGGATTGCCAACTAATTTCTTTGGAAACGCTTTTGGTGTGCTAGTTTGTTGTCCTTACCCCACGCCTCCGATTAGCACGGTTGGCTACGGTACGGTGCGAAATAAGATCTGCATATATATACTATTGATGAAGACAATTAAGTTTATTTGAGTTTAACCAGGTAGGAATTCGAGAAGCTCGGAAGAGATTAATTTCGATGAGTAACTAGGATCGGCAAAATGATAAAAGCAAAACAAATAAAAGTAAACGTCAATTTTGCAAAATGGAAATCGAAGGGAAAAACAAGCACGTCGTCCACCCATGCAAGAAATGAACAATACTGCGCAAACACTAATCAGCGTTCAAATAACAGATGCCCTGCGGCGCGATTCAGCTCGGGCCGATTCCGTCCCGACCGCGATTGTCTATCACAATTACCAAGTTAGGTTTACAGAAATATTCCACGGAAATGTGGGGGGCGGGGTTCTCGTGCAGAAAAAGGGATCTGACGCGGTCGCGCAAAAATCCAAGTGAGGTTTTTGAGGTGGGAGGGCCCTCTGAGCTTCTCCGCCGAAGAGCGTGCCGGGTGCATGCGCGCCTGTCGGCCTGCGCTGGCCCACTTTCCCCACCCCACGTGCGCATCTCGTCAGAAGGGCCTGTGTGTGTGTGTGGAAATATGAATTTGTATAAATAATAGGTAACCTTTCTTGGCAATGACTAGTTGTCTTAGCGGAGGCGATACGTAAATAATCGGAGTGTGTGTCCTCCCATATCTATCTCTTTACATAAAATATAAACACAATATATGAGGGTGCCAGGGTGGCGAGATGTGTTAACTGCCTCGCCTGGTATACAGGAGGTCGTGTGTTCGATCCCGACCTTGTCACCTGTATATTTGGAGTTTACATGTCTCTCCCCGTGGTCGCATGGATTTTTCTTCAGGCTCTCTGGTTTTTCCCTCCACATTTAGAATCCGCTTGCGTTTAGAGTATTTGGCTGGTATAGATTTCCACGTGATAAGTCACTTCCTTGAGCTATCACGTGTGGCCAGGTCACTTCTGAAAAAGAGCTATATAGCTCAGTGGGCCTTACCTGGTAAAATAAAAATCCCGCACCTCCGATTCCGACGGTTGGCTACGTACGGTGTGAAAGAAGTTCGAAATACATACCACTTCATAATAAACGTGGCACATTTTTTACTGTTTGGCCGTGTCGGGTGGCGGAGGGTAACGACACATTTATAAATAATGCGATCTAACCCAAAAACCTTTATTATGAATAATTTTGGTCGCAAAACCCTACGTGTTAAACTGAATACATACCACTGCTGCCAACGTGGTATCGTGATTATTAATTTTGTCTTGGTGGAGTTCACTGCAGTGCAGCCTGGGTTTGAGATTCCGCCTCTGCTGCTTCAAACTCGCACACCAGGTTTCCCGGGGGGGGGGGTAGGGGGGGGGGGTGTAAGTGGCAGGGAGAGGGAGGAGAAGGGGGGGGGGGGGGTGCCGCCCCCGCCCGGCACAGTTTTTACGAATTCATGCGGCGCACCCCAGCGGTGACCGAGATTGGAATTTAATCGGGCATTAATGATGGCGGTAATTGGATTGATGACATCAGGAAATTTCATTACAAGTGTCTGGAATCTGCATGCAAATTTTCGCCTTAATTTTAATTAATTTAATTTTGTTGGGAGTGATAATTGAATGGCCCACGTCGTTGCCGACCGCTCGGTTGTAAGCGCCTTGCCGTCCGCTGCTGTGTGACCTGGCACAGAGCTCCGAGGAGTCGGACAAAACCTCGCGTGTGTGCGTGTGCACGACGCCTCTGGGATTGCTACAAGTGTGCAGGCAAAGGTGGTCCCCCCCCCCCCCCCCCCCCCCCCCGTGTAGCACGCCACAAGCTGTTTGGGGGGCGGTGCTGTTAGTCTATGTAGGCCGGCACGGCGGCGCAACGAGGCGACGGTGTTTTCAGCGCCACACTCGGCCTCCTTTGTCTCCCTCGTGGCGATGTTTACACGTTGCGCCATGTACTCATCGCACCAGGTATGCATTTTAAGCCGAGTCAACGTTAGGTGGAAAGCCCAGGGCGCGGGTTAAGGTATCCTCCACCCATGTTAATGGTGGGCCCGGGAGTCTAACTCGGCTGTCAGGAGTTCCTAGGGCAGCGAATTGGGACGGTGACCGATGAAGAGACGCGAGTGTCGGTGAATGTCTTGAGCGGGGGGGTCGAGGTGAGTGAGGACACGTCCCGTGCGAGCCGTAGGACAGGCTGCCCACTAATCTTAAGCGGTTTAACTCCTTCCTCCCCCGGGGGCCGCTCTTGGCGAAATCCGGCGCGGATCGCACGTGCGCCGACGCGCGCCAGCGACGCGTCGAGGAGCTTTGGCCGCCCGCGCACACGGCCGCGTTGGGGACGCCCACCGGCCCCCGGCGCGACCCCGCGGTGACGGTGTCAATAGTTGCCGATCGCGGTCCCGCGCCGTCCCCGGCGCTGGCGCCGTACCGGCGACGCCGACGTTGGTGGCGGCTTGCTCGCACCGGGGGCCAAGCTGTTAACCCCCGGAGGCCCGCTTTGACGCGGCGTGCGTGCGCGCGCGCGCGACTGCTAATTGCTTCCTAATGGCGTCGATGCGTGGGAGCGGGCGGACCTGGCTCATTAGTAGGCCGATCAGGTGCCCGGGCGCCGTTAATTGGCTCTCTGCGGCCCCGGCGCTGTAATCGCCGCGCGGAGGCGACGGCTCCGGGCGGCAGGGGAGCGGTTTGCGGCGCACGAAAGCCAGCGAGAGAGCGAGAGAGTCGCGGCATTCTCAATCCCGGCACGGGGCGCTCCCCCGGCCTCCGGGGGCGCCGGACCCACCGCGGTCATTCGGCACACTCGAACTCGGCGGAGCGAGGGAGCGTGCGCTGGCGCTCGAGTCAACAGCCCTTTTTGGTGGCGTGGGTGGGGGGTGTGGGTTGTCCGGCTTCGCCCGTCTGTCTGTCACGCTGTTCCGATTGGAGCCCCCCCCCCCCACCTGGTAAACCTGCAACCGGCGCTGCCGAGTTGAGGTGGCTGCGCTTGCGTTGAGAGGAGCCCACTGGAGCTGTGACCACTGCCCGCGTTGTCTGCCCCAGCGGAACGCCTGGGCGACTGGCTGGAGGGTTCCGGTGTGCAGACGATAGAATTGCTGATCCGAGGCGGTCGTTTGTCTGTACTTCGCCACGCCGCCGATTGTGGGTTTGCGAGGCTGGGGAGCGTAGACATGCAGCACGACAACATTTCTGCACGTCGTGTAGCCACAGCCGGGCAGACCGCAACCACAGGCGTGGCAGGTTGTCCTTGGAAGGGCTGTCCAGGCGCAACCCTGCTTGGCTTGCGTGATGGAGAGGGTTGAGAGTGCTCGTAGCAACCCAGTTGGGGAAGTGAGCGTGCGTCGAGTTGCGTGGGCTGGAGAGAGTCCGCGGTCCGTCGATGATGCTCACCAAAACTACGGGAAGTGGGGTCATTTGGCGTAAAGAAAGTCTGAGCGACTCCATCCAGCCGCTGGGTGCGAGTGAACACGAATCACGGGGTAGAGGAAGCAATCGCAACCGAGGTCCCGTAGCATTAATTCCTCTCCGTGGCGGCGAGCCCCACCCCCCCTCCCGGTCTCCGTGGCTGGGCGAGGATGAGCGAAGCGCGAGTCTTAAGAGGGGCGGTTGTACGGCATCTGTTGCCGATTTAATAACCGGGCGTAATGGTAGCCGGTTGGGCTGTAATGGTACAAACATTAATGTGGATTCTCGCGCAGCTCCCCCGGCATGTTTCTGCCTTTGTACCGCGCGTCGTTTGCCAACCGTCGTTTTCGCTCCACGTGGCCCCCCCCCCGCGGCTTCTCAAGCCCGTGGAGCGAAACGTCGGGACATCGCGCCGATAAAACTTGGCTCACGATACAGGCACACAGGTGGCTGCTGTGGACGTTGTTGAGGTCGGTCCAGAAACCGCAAGTGGTTGGGGTCAGAACTCGCTTTCAGGCGTTCATAATGAAGGTTTTTGTTTTGGGTTAGATCGCGTAAATATATATGCGTCCTTAACCCGCCACCAAAAATCACCTGACGACGCTGGATGTTTAAATCGCCAGCGAAACATCACGGTAATCAAATTGTAAATCTTGTAGTGGGTTTACTCTCCAACACACCGGTGTGCTGAGCTAGTAACTAATTGTCACGTTTTGTTTACGTGACAAACCTTACTAATTGGCTGTGTCGGGTGGTGGCGGGTTTAACGACACATTTGTATTTACGTGATCCAACCCAAAAAAACCTTTATGAATAATTTTTGCCGCGAAAGCTCACGTGTAAAATTGTATGTCTGCATGTTGAACTTCCCTCGCACCGTACGTCGCCGATGAGCGAACCGTTAAACAACCGGAGCAGCTGCGCTCTGCACAAAACCCGTGCTATTGAGCCGCTCCCTCCAACGAGATGAACATTCAGAATCAGAATCTGCATTATACTGCAGGAATCCGAAGGTTTCCCCTCTCGTAGCCAAACTCCCACGCCTGACGGTCGCACCCACTCCGGACCGCACCGCTCCGCTGCCACCCCCCCCCCTCCCCCGACCGCCACCCCTCCCGGCGCTGCCGGTATCGCCCCGCGTGCCGCCGCACCCCAATCGCCACGGTGCCATCGCTATCCCCACCCCCCTCTCGGCGCTGTTGTCCCTTTGCGTCGACCCCCTGTTGTCTACCCGCTTGTTGTCGTCACCTTGCCGACGTCGTCCCTAACATCCGTACCCCACCCCCCGGCGCGCGTGCGTGCGTGCCAGATGGACGACGAGCCGTTCAACCCCGACTACGTGGAGGTGGACAGGATCCTCGAGGTTTCCCACTGCACCGACAAGGACAGCGGGGAGGTGAGCGCGGAGGATGTGTGGACGCCTGGTGGTGTTGGTGGTGGTGTGGCATGGACACCTGGTGGTGGGGTGGGGGGGGGACACCTGTTGGTGGGGGTAGAGACACCGGGGGGTGGGGTAGGTGGGGGGGGGGGGGTACCTTGTGTGGTAGGAAGACACCGTGTGGGGTAGACGGGACACCAAGTGATGTGGGCAGACACCTGCTGCTATGGGTTGGTGTGCACACCTGTGTGTGTGTCTGTGTGTCTGTTCGCCCACCTCACTCGCACCTTTCCGGTGGAGGTTAATCAGCTGCTTTTAGCGGGTTTCTCCCTCCTTGCACTCAACCACTGGAATAAACTTCCCCTGTACATTGAGCGGGGTCTCCCTTCTTTACCTCCATCCGTTCCTCTCTCAAAACCTCACCACCTCTTCTCCATTGCCTATTCCCTTCCTCTTCGCTCTCCTCGTCCCTCCGCTCCGTCCTGTCCCTCCCCTGTCGCCCTTTTGTGACCCCCACGTGGCCCTCTGTTACGGTCGCTCATTCCTCGACGCTTTTACTGCCCCCTGCCATCTAAAACCACTCGGCTATTGTGACAGCTTTTCAACTACGTTAACGAGAGCGCTTTGAGCAGAGGAGCTCTCCATAAACATAAATGAAGATGAGAAAATAAGTTTACAATCGCACTTTCGCATGCCGCGTAGAGGTTGTGACGTGAAGAGTAAGCACAGCCACACGTGCAGGTCATCTCCAAAACACCAAAGCCGAGCGTCCCGTGCACGTTGTGCCCCGCTGTATGTCCACAACGACTCGCCTGCAACTTCAGGCCTTGACCGAGTCGTCACCTCGTCGGACCTCGGAAGCGCTAAGCAGGCTTTGAGGCTGGCGCGTGCTCGGGGGCGGTGGGAGGGCTTTGCCTGCAAATGCCCGGGTGTGGTCGGAGGGGGTTGCGGGAATTGGTATTGGGAGTACCCGTTCTTATTTTTCATCATTTTGGATGCTCGCAGAAAGGTATCCCATAGATATAACTGCTTGACCCGAGTTGTAAGTGTTCCGATACTTTTATTGCCTTTCTACTGTTCGCCTTTTGGCGTTCTCTGATCTAACACTGGTGAGACTAGGCCATAAAGATGGCTGTTTCTGGTGTAGGCCAATCAGTTACAAAGACAATGCATCATACATTATCAGAACATGTTTGTTTGCATGTTTTGCCACAAGTATGTGTGGTTTAATGCATGCTTGATTCCTTGCACAAAAGGTTTCTATTTAGTGTTTGAACATCTTAAAACCTTCTGTGTCATTGCCGGAAAGGGTAAAGCACCTATTTTTATACTCTACTCTTTGGTTCTTTCGGTAAAGTCACGTAGTCAGAAATAAAATAAATGACGACGTTTCGTTCGCAGCACAAGCGGTCGTTGGCCGCTTGTGTTGCGAACGAAACGTCGTGATTTATTTGATTATATTTTATTTCTAACTACGTGACTTTATCGAAAGAACCAAAGAGTATGGATTCCTGCAGTCACGAAAGCTTGAAACCTATTATGTTTCATCGGAGGGAGGTCGCTCGCTCCTCTGCTACCACATGGCCCGGGAATTGCCCCCCCGCCCCCCACTCCGCAGTCCGTGCTGTTGGCTCCCTGCCGCCGTCCAAGACTCTCATGCTCACATCGGGGGGGCCCATAGACTCGCGTAGAGACCCACCGCCTCTCATGCTCACATAGGGGGGGCCCACAGACTCGCGTAGAGACAGATGCCCGACTGTCTTCCCGTCTATCGGAAGAATGCTCCCCACCGATTCTGTGCACCGTGTGGAGGCGCGGTGCCGCTCGACGCCTGTGCGCCGGTCCACGCGTCCTCACCGCGTGCACAGACACGGGTTAAGGACCCTTGCTTTGGGGTTTTTTCGGAGCGCGCTTCGCTGATTAATAAGCCATCTGTCGCCCAAACACACGGTGCTCGCGCACGCGCGGCGCGTACAGGGTTTTTAATCAAGAGCAGGCAGCAGGGGCTCCCGGGGGGGGAGGGGGGTGTAAACAGGGGGGGAGAGGAGGTGGGGGAGGGGAGGGGGGGGTGTCAGCCCAGCGAGAAGTGATGGGAGGGAGGGTGGCTGTGAAGGTTTAAAGGGGGGGGTCACAGTGAGGCAGGGTTTGTTGTGCTGGGTGATAGTGGTCGGTGGTATTAGTAATGGGGAGAGCGGTTGCGTAGTGGTTAGCGCAACTGCGCTACGAACCAAGCGACCCAGAGTAAATTCCCGTTCACAACCAATCACGGTGGTGAATATTCAAACCGGTTTTGGTCCCCCCCTAGGTCGATTCAACCTTTAATCAGTACCTGGCACAGTGTGAAAACATCAGCCACTGGGAAGACAAAGGCGGCCGGGCGTGTTGTTAGTCACCCCCCACCCCCTTGTGTGCCGTGCCGGCCTTCATTGGTGCTCGCTAACAGCACCTGCCCCAAAAGTATCTTCTGGTTATATGGGGAGGATCTTTGTCTGTTGGTGGTAGTGGTTCTGGTGATGATAGTAGTGCCGGTAGTGTGGTGTGGGCAGTTGGAGTGGGGTTGGCGATGGGAGGAAGGGCGATGGTGGTGTGGCAGTAGTGTTGTCAGCAGTCATGGTGCTTTGGCAGTGGGTAGCAGTGACCGTGTTGGCGGCGTTAATGTTAGTGGTGGAGGTGGTGATGGTCCGATGATTGGTGCTGGCCATGCCGGTGGTGCATTGTCGCGGCGGCGGTGGTGGTGGTCAGGTTATCACGGTAGCTGTTCGGTAAACGTGGTAGTGACGGTGGGGTTGGTTAGGTTATCGTGGCGATGGTGGTGGCAGAAGCGTAGGCAGCAAAAAACGTTTTTGAGCGCTCGGCAGCCGCACGAGCAGCGCGCGGGGCGATCGGAGCGCTCACGGTGGTGGTGGTGGTGGTGGTGTTGGTGCGCATGGCGGTTGAGAAACGAATTAATTAACCCGGCGAAGCTGTTCGCTTGCCACGTGCGCGCGTAAATTGTGTTTTGTCATGTGCGCGTGTGAGTGGGATCTACACTGTTATTTATTAAACGTTGTTATTAAAGATTTAAATTAGCCAGCGTTTAGCGGTGTTTTCTCAAACTCAGCGCCGTGTTGTGCCGCTCGGCGTTGCTCCCCGGCGCCGTGGTTTTGGCGCCTTGCGTTCCGGTGCCGTTGTAACTCCCCGCCTCGGAGCACCAATTAAAATTTAAATCTTCTCGGTGGTTCAGTTTTATTTTTTGTAACAATTGTCACGGGGAATCGTTTGACCATACTTCCCCCATGCTGGTCACGCGGGTTCTTGAAAAAATTGCTGCCAGAGAGACAAAGGTGGCTGGGCATGGTGTTTGCCACACACCAACCCCGCCCCCACCACCCCCCCGTGCACTGCGGCGGCCTTAATATGTGCTCGCAGACAGAGCTCTCGCCCCAACAGGCCGATGATTTAGACACGTGGAGACACCGGAGCAGAGTCCGTTACACAACGTGACTACCTCGGGCGATCCTTCCGTGATAAACGACGCATCTCCACTTTGTGTGCACTCTCTTGCCTTTTGAGTTAAATAGTTTAGTGCAGGTGGTCATGCCAATAACATGTGGCAACCCAAGCTTGGTTCAGCCGATGAGGCCTGAGGAGGGCAAAACCAATTTTGAAATTGCCTCCTTAAACTAATGCTGCTGCTGAATGTTGTATGCGTGTATGTACAACTTCTTTCACACTGTACGTAGCTAATCGTGCCAATCGGAGATGCGGGGGAAGGACAACAACACTACACACAAAACACAAAACATTGGTGTGGAAAGCCAGTTTGGCTGATGATTGAAAAACGTTTATTATATGTAACAGGGCAGAACGGGGTTCTGTTTACATGTGATATTGCCTTGCCCCAAAAGTCTATTCAAGGTTACACGGGGGATTGTTGTGTTTATGCGTGCGTGTGTGTGTGTGCGCCTGCAGCCGGTGACGTACTTCCTGGTGAAGTGGTGTTCCCTGCCGTACGAGGAGAGCACCTGGGAGCTTCGGGAGGACGTCGACGCCACCAAAATCACCGAGTTCGAGCAACTACGCACCTGCAAACTGGACACCACCAGAATGGTATGCTCCAGAGTGGGGGTGGTGTGTGTGTGTGACCACCAGAGTGGTACGGTCCAGAGTGGGTGTGGTTTTTTATGAAACTCCACTAGAGTTGTCCGGTCCGGAGTGACCCTGCAAACTTCCACTCCTGCTGAAACTACACTCCCACCCGACTGGTACCGTGAGCTCGCAGAGTGCCCATGCTTATGTTTTCTTCTTTCGTATGGTGTGGAGTTGATGGGCAGCATTTATCCGTGCGCGTGTTTCTGTGTTCGCGCCAAGGTTGGCGAGTGAGCTTGTGGATGGCTTGAGGAGTTAAAGCGATATTGAGGAGCTCTCTGCTGACTACCAGAATGGCATGGCTGCCCCCCCCGTATTGGCACTACATGCACTGGGCACAGTCGTGGTACAACACTCCGCGTGCCCTCTCTCCGCTCGCTCGGAGAGATGAGAGAGAGAGAGGAGTTCACCTCGAGTTATCACTTTGGGGGGGGGGGGGTGGGGGCTAGCGGACTGGCCATGTGCGCCAGCCCACGATGGCAGCGCCAACCGGATTGGCGAGCACCCGGCGCCAGCCGTCAAAAGCGGCCCCCGCACGCAGCTGTGACGGCGGTGGAGCTGCCGCCGGCCGCGTGGGAGGCGCGCGAAAGTAACGTCGAGCGCTAATTGACGTCGTCGGGACTCCACGTGCAAAAGGAAGTCTGGCAGACGTGGAAATTGGGGGACCCCCCCGTAGGGAGGCGGCGGTGTTGGGGTGAGGATGGTGGTGAGGCTGGTGGTGAGGAGGGGGGGGAGAGGCGTCGGTGGGGGTGGTGAGTGAGTGCAGTGTTTAATTCTGGTCGGATCCGTGGTCTGTCATTTGGACTACCAAGCACGCACCGATGTTTGTTTTTGCCCACGCCCACACGTGTGTGTATGCGTGTGTGTATATGCGTGTGTGTATATGCGTGTGTGTATATCCGTGTGTGTGTATATATGCGTGTGTGTGGGCGCGCGGTGCATGCGTGCATTTCCATTGCGTTCGTCTGTGCGCACATGCCTTCATTCATTCATCGGCGTGCGTGAGCGTGTGTGCGCACATACATTGTGCGTGCGGTTGTGTGTGCTCATTCATCGGCGTGCGTGAGTGTGTGTGCGCACATACATTGTGCGTGCGGTTGTGTGTGCTTGTGTGCACATAAATGCATTTGAGTGTGTATGCGCATGCTTACGAGCATTTGTGCGTGTTTGCACTGGGGAGACAGCTGGGCCGGGCATGCTACTGGCATCATCACCTCGTTTACCGTTCCAACCCTAATAGGTGCTCGCTAACCACATTACCCTCTGTGTAATGAGGCTATATGGGGATCTTTGTTTATTTGTACTTTTGTGTTTGCGTGTGTGCATTATCTGAGCACTTGTATTTGAGAATGTGTGTTTGTGTTAAACGTGGGGAGAGGTGGCACAGCGGTTAGCGTGCTGCGCAACTGAACCCAGCGATCCGAGTTCGAATCCCGCTCAAGGCCAACGCCAGTGACGATGATATGAACTGGTCCTGGGCCTCCCCTAGGTCGACTCGGCCTCAAATGAGGACCTGGTGCAGTGTGTAAACATCGCCTGTGGGCAGAAAAATGTGGCCGGGTTTGGTGCTGGCCCCCCCCACCAGTGCCATGCCAGCCTTCATAGGTGCTACTCGCTATAACAGCACTTTCCTCAACAGTCTGAGGCCAAACAGGGGGGGGGGGGGGGTGGGGGATCTTTGTCTTTGCGATATGTGCCGGGCACGCTTGTATCTACCGGCAGTCCCCGAGATACGCACGTCCCACTTACGAACGAACCGCCATAAGGCGTGATTATTTTTGACCATCCGACTTGCGAACGTTCGGTCGTACTCGCGAACCGACTCGCGGAGCTGTTTTGCTCGGCGGAGCGATCCTCCGCGGGATGTAATGAGTCGCGGCGTCTCGCATAATGCACGCCCTTTCCGACAAGCAAGCCATCGCCAGGACTCGAGGCGATAAACCTGACTTTTTTCATGTTACTTTATTTAACGTTTTTTTTAATTATGCAGTATTTTTTAGTGTTACATGCAAATGTACAATATCTCGCCTTATGGGTTTAGCGACGCCTCCCTTTCTTGACGGTTGAGTTTTAATTTATTTTGAAGGACCCTGCGAGGGAAGCTCTTAAGTTCTGGTTTCATCAACAAAAAACACACACTCTGTCTCCGTGGCAGACGTAACGCATCGGGGAAAGACATTTTTTTAATACAAACTAATACATTTTTAAAAAGGTAAGAAATCGTAGAAATCACAAAACGAACCGTAACGCATTCTATAACACTGACCCGTAAGTGCAACCAAACATTGAGTTCTGAGAGATTCTAACCGACTTACGATCGGCTCTCAGGAATGTAACCCTGTTGTTCGTAAGTCGAGGACTGCCGGTATACCACCTGTTGTGAGTGGGTGGGGTGGCGTTCCCACTGCTTGATCCGCTCAGCCCTCAATGCGTTCCCGTGCCCCCCCCCGCCCACCGCCTTGCAGGACCGGCCGCCGGCCAACGAGTGGGTGAAGTTGGAGCGCTCGCGCGACTACAAGAACGGCAACCAGCTGCGCGAGTACCAGCTGGAGGGCCTCAACTGGCTGCTCTTCAACTGGTACCAAAAGTGAGTGCCCCCCCCCACGTCCTCTCTCCTCCCCACGGGATGGCGGGGACGCCACGTGCTGTTACTGCTCGCGCCATTTACACCGTGGGCGCCCGTCTGTCTGTCAGTCTGTTTTTCCGTCATTCTGTCCGTGTGTGTTTTTCCATTTGTTCGTTTCATCTGTCCGACTAACTGTCTGTCCATCCGTCGGTCCCCCATCTTTGCGTCGGTTTGTCGGTCTGCCTGGCTTAATTTCCATCTGTCCATTTGTCTGTCTGTCCATTTGTCTGTCTGTGTGTCTATACATCGTTTCGTCTGTCTGTCTCTCTCCGTATGTCCGATTTGTCCGTCTATCCGGCCGTCCGTTCATACGTCCCGTGTCCCCCACAGGCAAAACTGCATCCTGGCGGACGAGATGGGGTTGGGAAAGACGATCCAGTCGATCACGTTCCTGCAGGAGATGGTGTACGTGGGCATCCGTCGGCCGTTCCTCATCATCGCGCCGCTTTCCACCATCGCTAACTGGGAGCGGGAGTTCCGCACGTGGACCGACCTGAACGCCATCGTGTACCACGGCAGCCTGGCGAGCCGCCACATCATCCAGCAGTACGAGATGCACCACCGCGACGAGCAGGTGAGTCCCCCACCTTGCTACACAAAACGCGTGACCGGGTATCGCGATCGCAATTCACGGCAGACGGTCACGACGCAACTGGACTTGCGCTAGAGGGAGCTCATTGAGGGTGCGCTTGAGAGCCCAACAACGAGAGCATCTCCCACCGCCTGCTCTTCCGCGCTGGCCAAAATATATTTGGAAGGGGGGGGACGGGCTTTGTACCCACGTGTCACCCAAGATGCGGCGTCGAAAACTCGACAAAAAAGATGGCGTCACGAGGTGGGTTGTGGGTTGGTCAGAGCTCGTGGTGCCGGCAAAGGGTTTATTTAAATCGAGTCAAAATTATTTTGTAGATTCAAATTGATGATCGAGTTCATGATACACGGGATGTCATCGGTTCTCGTGACTCCTTCAGCCGATAGTGGTCACTACATTAGCCACAATGTGTTTAAACAAAATATAACAGAAACTACAGCAATTCGTACACGGAATAGTGACGTGGAATCTCGGGAGTTCATTGAATTACCGGGGTCCGGTTTGGGCGAGGGGGGGGGGGAGAGCACCACGGGTGAATCGTTCCACCCGGGGATTCATTCCTCACCGATTATACGTCGCTGGTAGACTGGACTCTATGTTTGTACGTTGAGCTTCTTTTGCACCGTCCGTAGCCAACCGTGCCAATCGGAGGTGCTAAAAGTATCCATAGTAACAGCAAGAGGTTTAACACTGATGCTAAATGTTGTGGCTTGCCTCTCCAACACACCGGCGTGCTGTACTAGTGACGAATTGGCACGTTCTGTTTACGCGGCAACCCTTACTAGTTGGCCGTGTCGGGTGGTGGCGGGTTTTAACGACACAACATTTATTATATTTACGCGATCCAACACAAAAAACCTCGATTATGAGCGAGAGGTTTACTGGATGTGGTTGCCGACCCCCGTCGGACCGGGCTTTGCACAAATCGCTGGCGCCTTAACCGGCCCGTGCGTTCCGTGGGCAGGGCCGCGCGATTCCCTGCGCATACAAGTTCGACGCCATCATCACGACCTTCGAGATGATCCTCACCGACTGCCCCGAGCTGCGCGACATCGGCTGGCGCTGCGTCATCATCGACGAGGCGCACCGCCTCAAGAACCGCAACTGCAAGCTCCTCGAGGGGCTCAAGCAGCTCAATCTGGTGGGTGGCCATCCTCCAGGGCCCACCACCACCACCACCCCTGTAACCCTCAGGGCCCACCACCACCTCCCCTGTCCCTCCAGGGATCACACCACCCCTGTCCCTCCGAGGCCCTCTCTCCGTCTCACTCGTCGTACCTCTCCGCTATACAACCGATTACGATTTATATTTCCACTGCCGCTGGTGCCGAGACGCGGTGACGCCACGTCCTCGCGTTGTCCTACCCACTGAGGTCTCGCTAGATCAACGCGTCATCCTCCCCGTCCTTGGCCCTGCTTGGCCCCGAGCCGGGTTCAGGTGTCCCGTGAGGCCAGCGGGATCGCCTTTTGCTTCCGGTTCGGCAAGAGCCGTTTGAAAACCACCCGCCGTGATGGCCCCTGCGCCGGCTCCTCTCTGGGCGCGACATTTTTCCTTTTCTCACCGAGACATTCCACTCGCTCACCGAGACATTCCATGTCCTTCGGGGTCTTTCCGGTTCATCGGTGAACTTTTTGTAGATTCAACACTGACCAAAAGTCGGCACAACACTCTCAGCGTTTTTGGTTGGCGTATCTCGTGTATGTGCTGCGTGTACGTATGTTGAACGCCTTTCGCGCACCGTACGTGGCCGAGCGTGCTAATCGGAAGTACCGGGAAAGTTCTCTGGCGCCTCGTCCTAACGTCCCGGTCAAACCTTCCTTGCGCGCGCACGAAACCAGGAGCACAAGGTGCTGCTGACGGGGACGCCGCTCCAGAACACCGTGGAGGAGCTCTTCAGCCTGCTCAACTTCCTGGAGCCGGCGCGCTTCCCGTCGGAGCCGGCGTTCCTCGAGGAGTACGGCGACCTCAAGACGGAGGAGCAGGCAAGCGCCGTCACCCCCCCCCCCCGCTCAGTAACCGGCGAGTCGTTGGGCACGACCTCCCGACGTTTTGGCTCCACGCGTGTTGGGGGAGCTTCTTTGGTTTGTCAGAGACGTTTTGCCACGAACAACACCCCCTCGGCGTGTGAAGCGAAATGTCTCGCACGTCTGAACCAGGCCACTCCGAACTCCTGACCCGAACCAATTCGCCAACAGCTACTCGTACATGTCCTGCCCATTTAACCCTTACCATTAAACCAACTAGTACGAGTGGCTGGTGGGGTGCTGCGGTGGCGAGATGTTAACGCTATCGCCGGGTATGAAGGAGGTTGTGGGTTCGATCCCGACCCTGACGCCTGCTGCTGTATATTTGGAGTTTCAGGTGTCTCTCGCTCTCTCTCCCCGTGGTCACGTGGATTTTTCTCTGGGTTTTCCCCTCCACACGTTTATAGTGTTTGTCTGCTATAAATGTCCACATGATAAACCACTTCGTTTGAGCTTTCATTTGTGGCCAAGTCGCTTCTGAAAAAGGGCTCTAAAGCTGAGTGGGCCTTACCCGGTAAAATAAAAATAAAATCGGTGGTCATGGTTAAGGTCATAGGGGTTTCATCAGACCCAATGGCTGGTCCCACCCTTGATCATAACGTTACCCCTAAACGTAACCTATCAGTCCCTGGTACTCGAGCTCTCCCCTCGCTGAACATAATCCGACCTCGTTTAACCCCACCTCCGACGCTGCTCCCTCCGTGCCCGCATCTTTGTCACAAAACCGTCCACGATTCAGTTCCCGTGCCGGCGTCGCCGGCGTTGTGTCGGCGTCACCACGGCGACTCCAACTCTCCTTCCCCCGCCGGGGCGCGTCGCCGAGTTGACGCCGACCCCCTTCCCCACCCGCGCCCCCCCCCCCTCCCCTCTCGCCGGCCCCACAGGTGCAGAAGCTGCAGGCCATCCTGAAGCCCATGATGCTGCGGCGTCTCAAGGAGGACGTGGAGAAGAATCTGGCGCCCAAGGAGGAGACGATCGTCGAGGTGGAGCTCACCAACATCCAGAAGAAGTACTACCGCGCCATCCTGGAGCGCAACTTCTCCTTCCTGGCCAAGGGCGCGTCGGGCGGCCAGGCCAACCTGCCCAACCTCATGAACACCATGATGGAGCTGCGCAAGTGCTGCAACCACCCGTACCTCATCAACGGTACGACGCTGGCAGGCTGACGGTCGTCGCACCCAGGGGGGGGATGGGGGGCTGGTGGCGGGCGTCGGACGCTGACGCGGTGTTGACGGTCAGCGGCACGTTAATGCGTGCGTCACAGTCGGGCGATCGGCAAGGCCGCGTGTGGTGGGGTGAAGTGTGGGTACGCCAGAATCTGCGAACACGTCTGGTCAGTGCGGGAAGAGTTGCTAGTTTGCGGTCCTTCCACCTACGTACGGTGCGAAAGAAGTTCAACATGCAGACACATACGAGAGTAGAGCAAATACCCCCTCTAGAGTTTGCTGTTGTGGAGGCCCCTTTTCACCAGCAGTGGCGTGAGCAAGCAGATGCAGGGCTGCACTTTTTGGCTATTATTGCCTGTGGTGGCGACCAGAACCCCTGGTTCCAGCTCACTGCACTGGGATAGAATTTGGAGTAAAGCAGTCAGGGTGGTTGATAAGCCAGCGCTCGCCAATTAACTGAAATCTCTCGCTCACTCGACCGGCAATCAGTCGCCTCCGTATCGCTCTTCTATCGCTACTGACTTGGTAACCGTTGCCGTGACGTTAACTCGTTGCCGACTGTCATCGTCTCATCTGCCACACTGCAGGTCACAGCAACACCCCCACTCGCACCCACTCACTCATTCAACCACTCGCCCACTCATTCACTCGCTCGCTCAACACACTCCCGGACATCGGATTCCTCCTGTACAAATAAATATTCCAATTCTGATATTCTGATTCATTCCCTCGGACTGCTCTCCGCTTGGGAGTATCCCAACGCCCTCACGGTGGTTAACCCTTTGCTCAATTCAAGGAAATCGTTTGCTCTTTATCCATCACGCCTTGAAATTAGGGCTGTTTGTCACCGGCCACTTGGCGTTTCTGGTACCCAGAGGCCTGAGTACGGCAACCGTGATCTTAAATCATAAAAGATACGATCCGCGACCGTGTGGTGTCTCCTCCCCGTTGCAGGTGGTACAGCCTGAATCTGTTCCACCACCTTTCGATCCGTCAGATGTGCGTTAATTGGCTGTCGGGGGTAACGATTGGTGCTGTGTAACGGGTGAATTGGTTAACTCTTTTGCAGCTCGTCTGCCCACTGTGGGTTCTAAACAGAAATAAACATTGGGGGGTTTGTGAGTGTTTTCGGCATCATGGAGAGCGCGGTGGAACTGGTAGCGGAGCAGTCGTCCGCCTACCGCACCGCGCTGCGGTACCAGGTGGCCCAATTCCCGGCCACGGCTGACGTCAGTGGAGAAGGACATCCCAACTGAACAAGCTGACCACCTCCCCCCCCCCCCCCACTTCACCAACCAGCTGATGAAGTATGGTCAAACGGCCACCGTGACTTACACATAACTCTGCGGTGAGGTATTCATCCGGCAGTGAATGTGACAAGGGGCTATAAGCTCATAAATGAATAAATCAGACGTTATAAAAGACGTTTTATTTTACCAGGTAAGGCCCACTGAGCTATATAGCTATTTTTAAGAAGCAACCTGGCCACAAATGGAAGCTCAATAAAGTGGCTTATTATATTCTTAGCTCTTTCGGTAAAGTCACGTTGAAGGGAAACAATAAAATAATAATAAAATATATATAAAACAATAATAAAATTCTCACGACGTTTCGACCATAACACAAACGGTCGTCACACCTGATGACGACCGTTTGTGTTATGGTCGAAACGTCGTGAGAATTTTTTATTGTTTTATATATATTTTATTATTATTTTATTGTTTCCCTTCAACGTGACTTTACCGAAAGAGCTAAGAATATGAATTACTGCAGTCACGAAAGCTTTAAATCAAAATTTAAAGTGGCTTATTGTGTGGACATTTATAGCAGCCAAATTATCGAAATACTCAACACATGTTTCTAAAAGTGGAAGACAAAACCGGAGGACCCCGAGTAAAATCCACACGACGACGGGGAGAACATGCAAACTCTAAATATTCAGCAGCAGGCGTCAGGGTTGGGATCGAATCCACGACCTCCTGTATACCAGGCGAGGTCGTTAACATCTCGCCACGTTGCGATCGCTCACTACTTAGTGGTGTTATGATTTGCCTTTCCCGGCGATTCATTGTCGCGAGTGTTGGCGTCTCTAGTTGCTGCGGGGGTCACCCGAGGACACCTTTCGTACGGCACAGACGAACCAAAAAAAAAACAGATTCCTCGTGCGGCGATTCCGACGCCACGGACCACTCCCTCTCTCTCAGCCACGACTCACCATGACCTTGTGACCCCGTGACCTTGTGACCTTGCACGCAGGTGCGGAGGAGAAGATCCTGGAGGATTTCCGCGAGTCGCACGGGGTGGACGCCATGGACTTCCACCTGCAGGCCATGATCCAGGCGGCCGGCAAGCTGGTGCTGATCGACAAACTCCTGCCCAAACTCAAGGCCGGCGGGCACAAGGTGCTCGTCTTCTCGCAGATGGTGCGCTGCCTCGACATCCTCGAAGACTACCTCATCAATCGCCGGTGAGGCTGCTGGCCCCGCGTGATGGCCCACGCGACGACCCGTCCGCTAGCCCGCCCTGCGGTTAGCACGGTTGGCTATGTTACTTTGCGAAAGAAGTTCAATGTACATCCGTACCCTCTAGCCCGCCCGCTAGCCTAGTCGCCTCCTATCCTGTCCACCAGCCCACTCAACAACATCATCTACAAACCCACCTGCTAAGCCACCCGCTTGCCCACCGACTAGCCCACCGACTCGCCTCGCCGCTAGTCCACCCGATAGCTCGCCCACGAGATCACTCGCCAGCCTACCCGCAAGCCCACCCACTCACGCCTTCCCTGGCGTGAGTGTCCGCGGCACGCTTGTAAGTGTGTTGTTAGCGAGCGCCTGTGAAGGCCGGCACGGGTATGCAAGAGGGGGGGGTGGTGTGAACGACAACAGCTCCAACAGTCTGTAAAGGGTATATACGGCCGATCTTTGTCTTGGTGCTTGTGCACAAAACATCAATGGGAGGAGGGGCGGGGTGGGGGGAAACGTTGCGGCGATCGTCCCACGGCGGTCCGGTCTGCTCAAACTCCAGGCTGGTTCCCTGCAGCGGCCCCTCGAGACGCGGTCGCACCGAGGACGCCGTTTAACACCCACATCCTATTGCCGTGTCGGAGCTGTGCTTGCGTTGGTGCCGACAAGCGCGGCCGCCGCCCAGCGCACCGGCCGCGTCCGTGCCAACGCCGCTCGCCGCCGTGCCAGGTGGCACGCGCCTCTTTTAGCGAGCGCCGGCCAGGCTACCGATTACGCTCAGTTGGAGCGGTAGTTGGCAGGCGTAATGGTGGGAGAGGAGCAAGAGGGGGTCGGGGGGGGGGGAGGGGGGTGCGGCTGTGTGCTCGGTGCTTGGACTTTTGTAACCACGTCCGAACACGTGAGCGATGTCTTTCAAACGGTGGTCTCGTTCCGCAAGCAGCTGCTCCGGTCTCGAGGATTTTGGGTAAAGCGGTGGGGAGTGGGTGTGTGGGGTGATGGGGGGGGGGGGGCTGGGTGGGTGGGGGGGGGGATGAGGGGGAGTGGGGGTCTGGGAACCGTGGTGGCAGCAGTGGAGGCGGGTGGCGCGGCGGATTGTGGGCACGCGACGGGCCGGCCGTGATGGCTGCGGGGACATCTGCCGCGGCGCCGCGCCGGTCGCCCCGGCTTGTCCGTCCGTGCGTGCGAGCGTCTGACAGTGCGCGCGTGCGCGTACCCTGGAGGCATCGGGCAGCCACGTGCCGTCACGCCCCCACCACCCACCGCCCGCCCCCGGTAGCCCTCAGGAACCCGCACACCGCTTCCCCCGCCACCCGCACCCCCCCCCTCTTCGCGAGCGACTTTCACTTTCTCGTCGGAACGCGAGAGACGTGATGGTTTTTTAAACCGATCTTGAAAGTTGGCGTCTTCTCCGGCGTCCGGGGCCCTCACCCAGCCAGACCTCTCCTCTCTCTCTCTCTCTCCCTCTCTCTCTCCCGCTCTCTTCTCTCGTCCTCGTCCCCCCCCGCTCGAGTTCACCTCGACGGGCACGGCGCCCCCCGCCCATCTTGGAAGCCGAGATAATTCATCTCTCCCTGCCCCCGGCGCCATCTCTTAGACCGTAAGGGTGATGGAGTGCGGCGGAGGCCGGTGTGGGAAGGAGGTGCGGGGCGGCCGATCGTGGCGGGGGGGGGGGGCGGCTGGGGTGGGGGGGGGTCCCGCCTGTCGGGATGGATCGGCCCCCCACGATGCTAAATGGCTTATGCCGGGGTTAGCACCCGCGCACAGACTGAGACAAAGATCCCCGTGTAGCCTGAAACACTGTTGGGGTAAGTGCTGTTAGCGAGCACCTGTGAAGTATCGGCACGGTACACGAGGCGGTGGGTGGCCAGTGCCATGCCCGGCCGTCTTTGTCTCTCCCCAGCGGCGATGTTTAGACACCGCACCAGGTACTCATTTGAGGCCGAGTCGACCTCGCGGAGGTCTAGAAGCAGTTCAGATAATCATCAGTGGTGTTGGCAATGAGTGGGAATCGAACTCGGGTCGCCCTGTTCATCACGCAGTGCGCTAACCGCTTCGCCACAGCTCCCCTACCGCTCCCCTTCACCACTGCCACCGCTCCCACATGCGCACACACACACACAGACTCGCACAGACTCGCACATAGGCACACGTCCCACCTTCAATCCCTGCCAAATTGGCAGCAAGCCAAGGCAGCTTGGCCATCTGCTGCGCTCGCCCGCACGCACACTCGTACACACACACTGATGCTCTTATACTCTTATACCCTTATACCCTCAGCGCTACTCCCCTCCCCCACTCCATTTTCTCCCTCTCCCCTGTCCACACCGTGCTCCTCGTGCAAGGCAATTGGCTATGAGCACTGAATGCACGTGACGGCTCATTCAGAAGCAGAGGGAGTGGAGCGAGAGGAGGGATTCAAAGGGTAGAGCGGGGCAGGCCGATGTGTAGAGTAGGGTCTCACCACCGCCCCTACCACCCGCCCCTCTTCCACCTCCCTCCCTTCCTCTCCCCGAGTCTCAGAGGACCCTGATGTGCTTTGCTTATCTCCTGTTCCGATTTTGATCCTTTATGATCGGGGTCACCGTTATACCTGCCAACGCCGCAACCGCCCATCTCCCCCACCCCCCTGCCCTAGCACACCCCTCCCTCCCCCTCTCCAACCCCGACTGTGCCCACTGCCAACACTGATGACCTCCTCCGTCCCTCTCTCCCGCCCCGGCCTCCCTGGGAGGAGAGGAAGGAGGAGCGGTGTGCGATGAGGGATGAGAGCGAGCGGAGAGGTGGGACCGCTGCCGCCACCGTGATTAATGGCTCCTCTTGTCCGTCCGGCTGCGTCGTGGCACCGTCCGTGACCTGGAAACTGAGCGGGGTCAACCGGGCCTGGCGCGGTGCATAGTACAGTGCGGCGCGTACAGTGTGCTCGGGGTCACGAGTTGGGGTCGCGAGAGGCGACCGCGACGGGCAGCTGCACGCACGCACGCGCACACATGCTCGCGCAGTACACACGCGCAGTACACACGCGCGCACACAAACGCACGTGCACGCACACACGAACACGCACACACGTGCACGCTCGCACACACACACTCACACACTCGCACACGCACACTCACACATGCGCTCAGCGGTCCGAAACTGAAAATTGGAAAATTGCCAAGGGGGGAAGACGCACACGCGCTATTACGCCACGTCTATTTTTAGCCTCAGGTGGGCACTAACATTTGCGTGCGTGTGGCGTGTGTCACGACAGCATCGCGGAATCCCACTCCAAACAAAGCTGTCATTACTTGACCATGATCAATCCACTGCTGGATGAAGGCCCCTCTCCCCAAGGCGTCGCCATCTTTCACCGTCTCGATCCATCCGGCACCTGAGAACGAGGCGATTTTATCGCTCCGTCTCCGTGAAAGACGTTCTCCTTGGCACGTTCCCTCTTGCTGCCACTCCGACCGCCCCATATAGATGGAATGATTACAGTGGAGTTGTGACGGCGATTCATGATGATTCATTCTTTAATCTGAAATGCACCGGTCAGATGGTGATAACGTTTGGATTGAGGCTCGTTCCCCATCCACCTGACACATTCTGACACGCGGGGGGGTGGGGCAGCCAGAGGCTCTAGGGGCGCCACGGTGGCAAGATGTTAACTACCTCGCCTGGTATGCAGGAGGTCGTGGGTTCGATCCTGACTCTGACTCCTGTATATTTGGAGTTTGCGTGTCTCTCCCCGTGGTGGTAGCGTAGATTTTTTGCCCTGCGGTTTTTCCCTCCACATTTAGAATCAACATGACGCGTTGAGACTATTTGGACTGCTATAGCAATCCACACGACAAGCCGCCACTTCGTTGGGCTATTATTTGTGATAGCCAAGTCGCTTCTGAAAAAGGCCTACATAGCTCAATGGGGCCTTACCTGGTGAAATAAAAAAATAGTTTAGTTTTAATTTCTCCCTGTACCAGTCCTGCCCTACTTAACCCTTACCGTCCCCTACTCATGCCCTTCTCAGACTTGCCTTGCCATTCCCTGTCCTGCCCCGACCGTACCCACCCCCTGCCTTGCCCAGCTCAGCCTTGCCCCCACCTGCTTGTGTGACTACCCCCTATGTCTTAGCTCAATCCTCACCACACCCCCCCCTCCTCTTCCTGCTCCCCGTGTCCTCTCCACCGCCGCCGCCGCTGCGTGGGCGAGGAGGTCGATTCCCCAGCGCTGACCGCTCCCCCCCCCCCCCACCACCCTGGCTGAGTCCATGTCGGTGGCGCGACAGTGCCCTATGTCCCAGTCATCAGAGCTCGCCGGGGATCCGGTGAAATCGGCAGCTGCCTCGGTGGCAGCAGCGCCAGTGGTGGTGATGCTGCATCTTGATCTAACGGAAGGAGCGGTGGGGGGGGGCCTTGACAGCATCTGAGAGCTTTGCAGGGGGGGGGGGGGGTAGGGGGTTGAGCGGTCGATGCAGCCGAGATGCGGAGCAGCGTAAAGTGCGGTTTGTATTCTTGTGCTTGCTCTCCCACGCCACTGCTGGTGCAAGGAGGCCTCCGCTGGAGGTAGCTGCAGAGAGCCCCTCTGGAGGAAATCTTGGAGGGATCATGGCCGAGTTCCCCCCCAACCAGGAGTTACCCCCCCCCCCCCCCCCACCGCTCTCCCGCTGGGCCACGTGGCCCGCTTACGTTTCAGCCGCCGTCGCGCGACCGTAACAAGGAGGAGCCCGTCGCGAGGGACCCCCCCCCCCCCCCCCCCCCCCCATGGGTCCCACGTAACAAGGAGGGCAGGCCGGCGACGGGCGCGTACAACAAATACATCATCTTAATTAAAGTTCGCGCGCGAGCTCGACGGGCCCACGTGCTATACCTGGATGGGGGGAGAAGCGGACGCGGAAAAATCCAATTAGGGCGGCGCGTCTACGCACGCGGTCGTCGCTCTTACTTCCCTCCCCCCCCCCCGCCGAAGCCACCACGGATTTAACGACGCCGCTTTAGATGTTTACGGTGTTTTTTTTTTACCCTTGGCCGCGCGCTCGCCTATCACTGGGAGTCGAGATGCAACGGCGCGTCGATGGCCTGGGCGTGCGGAGCGGGTGACCCCTGGGGGGGGGGGGGGGGGGGGGGGGTCAGGCGCTCCTAAACGGGCGCTCGTTAGCCCGCCTGCTGTAAACCACGGCGGCCGCACGCCTTGCTCGTTCTAATTGCGCGCGGCGACGGCACTCTCTCGCCGCGATAAACCTCGAACTAACACGGACTCGAGCGCGGTCGCACGGGGAAGGGGCGGGGGGGGGGGTGGCGAGGATTTGATTCGTTGTCCAGATTATTAACGCGAGCGAATCGTGTTGTCGTTCCAATTAGCACAGCTGGGCTACGTACGGTGCAAAAGAAGTTCAACGTACATACGTGTAATGTATTACGAGTGAAAAGCGCGCGCAGCCATTTGTCAATCCCCTGCTGGGTGAACGGCTTCTCATGTCGGGAGTTGTTTGAGATTGACCGTACTTCACCACGCTGGTCAGTGCGGGTTGGTGAAGTTTGACGTTGGGGGAGGGGGGATGGGAGGGTGTGCAGCGGCAATTACAGAACTGGATAAATCCCCCGCCACAGTTGTAGCTGGGAATCATAAAATATTCAATAATTGCGTGACCTGTATAATGGCTGCCCCTCCGAGCTGAAGGGGTCGGTGTGGGGTGATTTTTCCCAGAGGTCACTCGTGCTTTGCCTTGACCCCCACGGGTGTGCTACACCAAGGGTAAGGCTCAATGAGTTCTACAGCTCTTTGTCAGAAGCACCCTGGCTATCACAAATGATAGCTCAACGAAGTGGCTTATCACGTGGACATTTATAGCGACCAAATACACACTTGCGGCCGTCTCTGGAGCCGGAGATGGATCCTGAGAACGGATTTTTCACCGCTTCCTCCTCGCCCACTCCGATGTTTGTCCTCGCGGGAGTTGACGACCACGCTCCTGTGACCTTGCTGCTGCTGCTGCTGCTGCGGCAGGCGGTCGAGTCGTGAGCGTTGGACGTTGGACTCTGCCGCGCGTGGCGGTGGCGCCCCCTGCGGCCCACAGGCGCAACGCACGCTTCACCCGGCACTGCACCGTGTCTCCCATCGCGTCTCCCCCCCCCCCCCCCCCCCGTGTCTCCCATCGCGTCTCCCCCCCCCCCCCCGTGTCTCCCATCGCGTCTCCCCCCCCCCGTGTCTCCCATCGCGCCCCGCGTCTCATCCCGCGTCTCCCCCCCCCGCGTCTCCCCCCCCGCGTCTCCCCCCCTGCGTCTCCCCCCTCGCGTCTCCGCCCCCGCGTCTCGTCCTGCGTCTCCCCCCGCGTCCCGCCCCCGCGTCTCGTCCCGCGTCCCGCGTCTCGTCCTGCGTCTCCCCCCCCGCGTCCCGCGTCTCCCCCCGCGTCCCGCCCCCGCGTCTCGTCCCGCGTCCCGCGTCTCGTCCTGCGTCTCGTCCCGCGTCTCCCCCCCGCGTCTCCCCTGCAGCAGCAGCAGCGGTGCAATTACAAGTCGATCTCGAGAACATCTAAGGCAGAAGACAACAGCGGACAAAGGAAGGGGCGAGAACAGAGATGAGGGAGTGACGGGCAGTGGGAACACACCCGGCGTAAGATGACCGAGTCTTGTGACAGGGACACCAGGAGGTGGGGGGAGGGGAGGTAGAGTTTGGTGGTGGCGGGGGGGGGGGGGGTGGCAGCCGATGGCGCCGAGAAAGCGTTTGACGCGCCCCACCCTCCGTCGTGACCGACGGACGCGACGGCGACTGAGCGCGCGTCCCCAACGGCCCGCAGGTACCCGTACGAGCGGATCGACGGGCGCGTGCGCGGGAACCTGCGGCAGGCGGCCATCGACCGCTTCTGCAAGCCGGACTCGGACCGCTTCGTCTTCCTGCTGTGCACGCGCGCCGGCGGGCTCGGCATCAACCTCACGGCCGCCGACACCTGCATCATCTTCGACTCGGACTGGAACCCGCAGAACGACCTGCAGGTCAGAGGATGGTGCGCACGCGGGCTCCTAGCGTTGCAAGGGACGAAGACGAGGATCCTCCTCCCCACCTAGCCTCTGAAGCCTTTTCCCTTCCGAGACGTCTGCAAGTTGCGGGGTGGCGGGTGTCCGGTTCACCGGCTGAACGTGCGCAAACTATTTGCCGTTCATTTTATTTGGAGAGCCGTTGTTTTTAAAGGCACGACCGCATTCTACGGTATGGCTGGCGTCAAACTGCCACGCTCCCTCCCGCATGGCCTTGTGGGACCTCAGTACGTCTTCCAACCTGAAGCCGTACCAATAAATGTATTTTAGTTTTTAGTCCAATTCCATTCCTATGATGTACACGTACGTCATAGGAAAGGGTTCATAGGTTGTTGGGGCAAGTGCTGTTAGCGAGCACCTACGAAGGCCGGCACGGCACACGAGGGGGTGGGTGGGCCAGCACCACGCCCAGCAATGGTGATGTTTATACAGTGTACTCGTTTGAGGCTGAGTCGACCTAGTCTTGCACACACACACACACACACGTACCCCCGAGGGATGCCTTTTAGGTTATGTTTTTACGCCGGATTTTTTTTTCCAATTTGAGTTTGTATTTTCATATTTAAATGTATCACTTCTCTGTTCACGCAATTTTATCGATGTAATTAAATTTACATTTCTCACATGTAGTTCCATCTTGAATTATAATTATCTGTGACGTCCGTTTAGTCAAAACGATGTCATGAGGTGACTCACGTCATCGGATCCTCTGGATTGTTCTATCTCGGTCGGATAATTCCGAGTTTCTCGGATTCGGCAACCTATTCATTACAATTCCTTTACTTTCCCAGCCGTTCCGTAGAGTCCTCTCAGTTTGATTCGCGATTTTGACGACGGTGATACCACGAGCCTCTGTTTTTCTGCCATCTTCCACTCCTCCCATCTCCCATCACCCCCCACCCAACCCAGGCCCAGGCGCGGTGCCACCGCATCGGGCAGAGCAAGGCAGTGAAGGTTTACCGGCTCATCACTCGCAACTCGTACGAGCGCGAGATGTTCGACAAGGCGAGCCTCAAGCTGGGCCTCGACAAGGCCGTGCTGCAGTCCATGAGCGGTCGGGAGAACGCCACCAACGGGGTGAGACGGCGGAGAAACTGGCACAGAAGAATGAGCGGGGGGCGGGCGGGCGGGCAAATCCGGGCGGCAAGTAATTGAGCCCGGCGATTGAACGGGGAGACGCGACGCGTGTGGCGTCTCTGCAAAGCCTCGTCACCGCCGGTTAAGCGACCCTCACGGTTGCGCGCGTGTCCCTCTCGTTCTCTTCGTCTGTACCTCTGCTCCGGCCGCCAGGTGCAGCAGATGTCCAAGAAGGAGATTGAGGACCTGCTGAGGAAGGGCGCTTACGGGGCCATCATGGACGAGGAGGACGAGAGCTCCAAGTTCTGCGAGGAGGACATCGACCAGATCCTGCAGCGCCGCACGCACACCATCACCATCGAGACAGAGGGCAAGGGCTCCACCTTCGCTAAGGTGGGGTACGGGCGCGCGGGCACACGTGTGGCCAGTGCCTGATTGCACGTTTAATAATTTAAACTACTAAACTCTAAACTACGTTTATTTGACCAGGTATTGCCCAACGAGCTATGTAGCTCTTTTTCAGAAGCCACTGCGCTCCATATAAAATGATAGCCCAACGATGTGGCTTATCACGTGGAAATTTGATCGCAGCCAAATACTCCTGATGCGGGACGTTGATTCTAAATGTGGAGGGAAAAACCGAAGGGCCCTGAGATAAATCCACGCGACCACCACGGGAATAAAGACATGCAAACTCCAAATATGCTGCAGGCGTCAGGGTCAGGATCAAACCCACGACCTCCTGCGTACTAGGCAGGGGAGTTAACATCTCACCACCGTGGTGCCCCATGTAATAATAACATGGAGAGCCATTACAAGGGCACGGAGCAAACAGCATAACATTCAACTTTGGTCTCGGTCCAAAGAGTAGAGCTCATACCTGGTATTGTTGGCCCTTGGCCTGGTGGTGTCCGTGTCATCTCTAGCTCGTCGCGTTGCCTATGTCTGGTTATTCAGGAGATGAGAATAATGATGACTCTGATTATGATCATTATTTTCGTTATAATAGTGTTGGAGATCGTCGTGGTGGCGGGGATGATGAATGATGAGTATGGTGATAATACTGATGATAATGATGAGAATACAAATTACTTTGAAAGTTAAGTTGATTTTTGTGGTGATGGTGGCGATGATGATTTGAACGAAGTTTGTGTTGCCAACAATGACCCTAAGAATGATGATCCATGGTGTGATGATGTCATCAGTGTTGATGATGATCGAATGATGAAAGACAATGAGAATAATGATGTGAATAATGTTGACAACGATGACGTGGATGTCGGCGATGCCCGCCCCCGTGTGTGTCCACGACGGCAGGCGAGCTTCGTGGCATCGGGGAATCGGGACGACATCTCTCTGGACGACCCCAACTTCTGGGCTAAGTGGGCAAAGAAAGCGGAAGTCGACCCGGACGCATTCAGCCGCAGGGTGAGTCCACCAGCCGCTCCCCCCCCCACCACCCCCCGCTTGTTATTGTCCCTGTGTACGTTGAGCATCTTTCGCACCGTACGTAGCCAACCGTGCTCATCGGAGGTGCGGGAGAAGGACAACAAAGTGCATGCGTGTGACGTGTGGCCCCGTCTGTTGTAGTCTGGTGGTTAGCACGCCGCGCTATGAACCCGGCAACCCGAGTTCGATTCCCACTCACGGCCAACACCAGTGACTATTTTCTGAACTGGTCCTGGGCTTCCCATAGGTCGACTTGGCCACAAATGAGCAGCTGGTGTGGTGTGCAAACATCAGGTGCCTGGGTGTGGTCCCGGCCTTGCCAACTGCTTGTGCGTTGGCACCAGCATTAATTAACAGGGGATCACTGAAAGCACTTCCCCCATCTGTCTGTTTGGCTGTACAAGGAATTTTTATCTTGTTATATATGTGTGCGTGTTCCGCCACTAGTGTCCCTCTCGGTTGTCAAGTTTGGTTCGTTCCGCAAGTGTGAATGTAACATTTGCACTTAATTTTCACGTAATCATCGATCCACGCTTGCAATTCTGAGTGTGTGTGTCTAAGAATAGATGTACAGCCCTAGCACTTTGTAAATTCACCACTGGATGAAGGCCTCCGCCTCCTCCCCCCACCCCCATCGCACCATGTCAGTCATGAGGGTTGCTTGACCATACTTTACCACACCGGTCGTTCTGGATTGTTGAAGGAGAGTGGCCATAACTTGTTCAGATATCATTCGCCGCTGGTGTCAGCCGTGGCCGGGAATCGCAACTGGGATTTATTTATTTCAGGGGCGCCACGGTGGCTTTGGAGATCTTAACTGCCTCGCCTGGTATGCAGGAGGTCGTGGGTTGGATCCCGACCGTGATGCCTGCTGCTGCTGTATATTTGGTGTATTGCGTGTCTCCTCGTGGTCGCGTGGATTTTTCCTCCGGGTCCTCCGGTTTTTCCCTGCCACATTTAGAAAAATATACGTTTAGATTGCTTAGATCATTTTACTGCTATAAATTTGTACATGATAAGCCACTTTTGTTGAGCTATCATTTTGTGACCAGGTCACTTCTGAAAGATAAGCTAACAGCTCAGTTGGCTTTACCTGCTAAGAATTTTTTTTTACATTTTGTTCGCATATTTTTGTAAGTCACTTGTTTACCTTTCCTTTACTTTGCACTCCTGGCGTGCTTTTGTGTTGTTTGTTGTTGTAACGTTCTGACCTGCCCCTACTGGACATCTGTGACAAAAAGAGCTTTATAGCTGATCGGATTCCTCCTGCAGTATAAATAAATATTCTGATTCTGGATCCCCGAGTTCATCGCTCGGAGCACTCACCGCTGCGCCACCGCTCCACTTCAGTTCATCATTGCACACCCCGCCCTTGCATCGTGAAGCATCTTTCACACGCCTGGTGTCGTCATTTTGTTTAACTCGCTGAGAGCTCAAAAGACCAGGATAGAGTCTCCGTTTGGCGAGGGCGACCTGGGCCGCCGAAATGTACGTCGCTCGTGTCGGACTTGGAACTAATTGCTTGCGTGTGTCCATGTCCGTGCGTGCGAGCAGAACACGCTGGTTATCGACACACCGCGCGTGCGCAAGCAGACGCGGCACTACGACGCGGTGAAGGGCGAGGATCTGGACTTCTCGGAGGGCGACAGCGACGACGAGCGGGCGACGCCACGCACGCGCCGCAGCCACGACCGCGCCACGGGATACGCGCGCACCGAGTGCTTCCGCGTCGAGAAGAACCTCCTCATCTACGGGTACGAGCACTGGGGGGGAGACTGCTGCGCTGGTGGGGACGGTCGTAGACCACAAACGAGTCAGTCGGGAGAGATGCAGCGGGTTGGTTTGAGGCCTCACCGCAGTGAATGTGGTGTGTTCTGTTAATGCGAGCCGAGCGTTCCACATGTGCGCCTGTATGGGGTGCGGTGGTGTATTGGTGAGCGCATTGCGCTACGAATCCAACGTTTCCTGTATTCCGTCCATGACCGTGGATATCACCAGTGGTACGTGGAATGTGAACTGATTCTGAGCCATCCCCGAAGCAACGTGGCCTTCAAAGGGAGTACCTGGTGCGGTTTGTGGAAGCGCCGGCACCGGGGAAACGGTGGCGCCCAGGCATGGTGCCGGCTACACCACGTGCGCTATACCGGCCTTGATTGGTGTTGATTCTCTCGCCTGGTATGCAGGTAGTCTGTCCCTTGACCCTGACGCCTGTATATTTTTTAAGTTTGTGTTCTCTCCCCATGTGGTCGCGTGGATTTTTTTCCCTCCACAGTTAGAATCAACATTTGTGGCAGCCAGGTCGCTTTTGAGAAAGAGCTATAGAAAGCTCAGTGGGCCTTTCCTGGTGAAATAAAACAAGTTGTAGTTATTTAGTTTTAAATTGGTTCTCGCTAACAGCGAACAGCACCTGGCCCAGCAACCCGCGTGGGCCACACGGTCCGTTATGTTTGCTTCGGTGGTGTGCGTCACTCTGGATATCCTGCCTTCTGTGTGCGTACGGCCCCTACCGCTCACCCGCTCAGCTGGGGCCGGTGGACCGACATCCTGTCGTACGGGCGCTTCAAGCGCCGGCTGGCCGAGGGCGACGTGGAGGCCATCTGCCGCTCGTTGGTAGTGTACTGCCTGCAGCACTACCGCGGCGACGAGAAGATCAAGGCCTTCATCTGGGACCTCATCACTCCCACGGCCGACGGGCAGACGCGCACGCTGCAGAACCACTCGGGTGAGCCGCTCGTTCGCTCACAGCTCATGCTCCGGTACGTCTCCTCGCCGATGCCGACGTCAGTTCCCGTAGATTTGGCCCTATGACCAACGATTCCAGCTTCCCGTTAAAACCGACTGGGATTGCTCTTTTAGTTTTTAGCGACGCGCACAGAAAAATGCAGTCCCACGCTGGGCCCATCCGGGGCCTCACGCAAGCTGACCTCGTGACCTCGTAAGGCTCGCCTCTGACCTTCCGACAACCCCTCCCCCCCGCCGCGTCAACAGGCCTGTCGGCGCCGGTGCCGCGTGGCCGCAAGGGCAAGAAGGTCAAGGCCCAGAGCGGCCTGCCTGACCTGGAGAAGGCCGACTGGCTGACCAAGAGCAACCCGGAGGTCATCCTGCAGGACGAAGGCTACAAGAAGCACCTCAAGCAACAGTGCAACAAGTGAGAGGGACGGGGAGGAGTGTGGGGTGGGTGGGTGTTTAGGGGCGGAGGGGATGGATGTGGAGGGGAAGAGGAGGTGGGGGGAAAAACCAGGGAGAAAAATCCACGCGACCACGGGGGGAGAGACACAAATTCCATATATACAACAGGCGTCATGGTCGAGATTGAATCCACGACTTCCTGCATACCAGGCGAGGTAGTTAACTTACCGCCACTGTGGCACCCCCGAGAGAAGGGTATAGGAGGTGGAGAGGGGAGAGAGGGTTGGGAGAAGCGAAGGGTGAGCTGAACAGGGGGGAGGTGGGGGGGCTGTGGACTGATATGGAGCGGAGGAGAGTCGCCCCACCCCTACGGCATCGTGCAGTCACCACGCAGCGGCGATCCGTCACCGATCTCGCCGCGCCGCTGTGGGTCGGCGCCAAGCCATGATCTTTATCGGCCAGAATTTGTCCACTGCTCGATGAAGGCCCCCCCCCACCCAAAGCCGTCGCCATGTAAAACCTACAATCGTGTGATTCGCTAAAAGTGTGGCGATGTAAACAAACGCACGGTGGAAACGAGGCATTCTACGTACGCAGCACAAGCTTGGCAAGTCGTAAGCGTACAGTTTATTCTGAGAGTCTGCAACATGTCGACGGGGAGTGTGATCGTCCGCCCCCCCCCCCATCGCGATTCAAGACCTGGTTCTTTGGTTAATGTTTTGGCGATGGGCAACGTGAGTATCCGTGCGTGTCGTGAGCACAGCAGTCTTATGATCAATAATCGATTGGACGCCCTGTATATTTGGGAGTCTGCGTGTGTCTCTCCCCCGTAGTATCGTGGATTTTTTTTCTCCTGGTCCTCCGGTTTTCCCTCCTTTTAGAGACGTGCATTGAGATTATTTAGATTAATCTGCTGCTATAAATGTCCACATGATAAGCCACTTTTGTTGAGCGATCATTTATGGCCAGGTTACTTCTGAAAAATAAGTTAATACCTCGGTGGGCTTAGTTTGGTAGGATGGGGATGGTTTACTTTTATTTGTAGGCTTTTGGGTGATTTGTTTACCTGTATTCTTTGGGTCTTTCGGTAAAGTCACATAGATAGGTTCAAAGAAAATAACAAAAAACTAAAATTCCTGCAGTCACGAAAGCTTCAAGTCAAGATTACCTGTCTTGTACTTTGCACTACCATCCTGTTATTGTACTGTTTGTTGTTGTAACGTTCTGACCCAACCCTACTGGACAGCTGCGAAAAAAGAGCTTTATAGCTCCTCGGATTCCTCCTACAGTATATAAATAAATATTCTGATTCTGAATCGTCGCATCGTCAATTTCGGTGAACGAACCGTGCCGCCATGCCGACTCGCTTACTGACCGGTGCGTCGGCAACGGCGGCTGCTGGCTGTGCCGAACCAAATGTTCCGGCTGCCCCTTGATAAAGTGGGGGGCAGCTCGGTTTCAAAGGTCGCAGCGAGAGCAACCGTCCCATTTTAAAGCGGCCCACCCTACCCCGTGGGCAAGGCGGCGTCGGAGTGGGACCACAAACGGAAAAGCAAGCGGTGATTAAGCCAGAATTTGGGTCTCTTGGCGACTCGCGTTCGTCAATTTGGCACCACCGTTTTGCGTTACTGCGAGCTGCACACGGGGACCGCGGAGGATTCGCCGAATCGTGGCTGCGGTGATGTCCAGACTCGCGAAGAACATGGCGAACAGCTGACTTGTCAACTGCATTACGAACAGCTGACTTGGACTTGTCAACCAAATTGCTCGTCGGTGTGGTGGTGGTGGGAATTTGGGCGTTGCTGTTCAGTGTGACTGGTGGTGGTTGGTGCTGTCGGTTGTGGTCGGTGTTGTCGGTGCGACGGCGATGCCAGTTGTGGTGGGGTGTTGCCCCTTGGCGTGGCGGTGGTTCTTGCTCGTTGGCATTGCGGTTGTGGTGTTGCTGCGAGGGTGTGATGGCTATGGTGGTTATGGTGGCGGTTGTTGCCTGTCGTCGTGACGGCGGTTGTGTTTGTTGCCCGTCGGTGCGGTGGCGGTTGTGGTTGTTGCTTGTCCTCGTGACGGCAGTGGCGGTTGTGGTTGTTGCCCGTCATCGTGACGGTGGTGGTGGTTGTGCTGCCCTGCTGTAGGGTGTTGCTGCGGGTGCGCATGCTCTACTACCTGCGGCAGGAGGTGATCGGGGACCAGGCTGAGCGAGTGCTGCAGGGGTGCGACTCCAGGTATCATGGACAGTGTACCGTGTGTGCGTGCGTGCGTGTGTGCGTGAATGAGTGGATTTAAATGCGTGTGAGCACATTCTCCCTGGGGCTGGTGTACTGCACAGAATCCAAAGTATGTGACTCATATGCGGTGCGTGTTCCTGCGCGTGTGTGCGTGCGTTCCTGCGTGCTTGTGTGTGCATTCTTGCGTGCGTGTTCCTGCCTGCTTGTGCGTGCGCATGTGTGCGCGCGCACTGTGCCCCCAGCGAGATCGACGTGTGGATCCCAGAGCTCGACCAGGGCGACCGTCCGGCCAGCTGGTGGAACTCAACGGCCGACAAATCCCTGCTCATCGGGGTCTTCAAGCACGGTGCGGTCGCCCGCCCCCCCCCCCCCATCAAGCCTCCCGCCCCTGACCTTGACCCCTCCTGCACAGTCAAACGGTCGCACCATAGCGCCACGCTGCGCATGCGCACGCCCCGGGACAGTGGCAACGAGTTTGAGCGTATCGTTGACCACCTATGAAAATCATATTTAACGTGAGTACTGATATCTGGTGTTTCCGCATCCGCTTGCGTGTTTGTTCATGTGTGGTGGTGTGCGTGGGTGTGGCCGTGTGGCGGTGCGCAGGCTATGAGCGGTACAACTCGATGCGCGCGGACCCGACGCTCTGCTTCCTGGAGAAGGTCGGCATGCCGGACCAGCAGGCCTTCGCAGCCGAGCAACGCGGGGGTGATCTGGGCGATGGGTGAGTGGCGGCGGCGGTGCTGGTGGCGCCACTCTCGCCGTCGTTATCGTTTGTGGTTACCGACGCTTTCCCGCCGAGATTGAAAACGTTGGTTCTGTCCGTCTGCTGTCGGTAGCGGGGCGGGGGTGGGGCCACGATAACTTTCGTAATGACGATCCCGTGTGAACGACACTCTCGTGCGAGGTGCTGTTACTATTTTGGACCCGGGCAATGTGATCTGAGCGTTGTGCAAAACTTGTAGAGGATAAAAACGGCGCTTAAAGTACCTGTTGAATCCTAACGGGCCAGGACACCGAACCGAGGTTAATTAATTAATTTAACTCTACGACTGAAAATGCTGCCAGCGCTCGACCAAGGACTGACAGTGGTGATATTGTTCTGCGATACGAAGTAACGTGTTTCTGTGTTGAGCAGATTTAAGTGGTCATTAATTTTGTGCGTACGCGTGCGTTTGCGTGTGTGCGTCACCGGTGCTCAGCGGAGAGTTTGAGCGCGACGAGGGCGAGGATCCGGAGTACAAGCCGGCGCGCGCCGCCTTCCGGGACGACATCGACATCGAGGTGAGAGGCGGGCGCCACGCACCATCCACCACGGAAAGAACCGCCGCCACCACCACGGCCGCTCGCCACCACCATTATCTAGTCCCCCACAGGCACTGATAATCACCAACACGACCAACACCATCACCACAATCGCCACCACAGCCACGATCATCGCCACCACCGCTGCAACGACCACCGCCACTTGCAACAAAGTCACTGCCGCCGGCATCACTTCTGTCATAATCACCCATGTAGCCACGATCATCATCTTCCTCGACCACTTCCGCCGGGAAGGTAGCAACTTCATGACCAAAGGAGAGATGCCAGAGACCAACTCTGGCTCAGAAAGCAGCCTTCGCCCGAAAACAAAATCCTGTCCTTGCGGTGTCACTCCAGGCCGGTGTAACTCGCGCCCCACCCCCCCCGCCCCTCTGTGTTGCAGGACGACTTCATGTCGTCGTCGGACCTCAAGATGACGATCTCCGACGGTACGCAGCACTGCCCACCTCGTCACAACCAATTAACCCTCCGACCAAATCACCGTAGATGCGCCCCGTGTCGCCGTCGGCTCTTGTTAGCCAAGCAGACTCTCCAGCCTGGCTGCTCCAGGAGTTCTCGGAGTGGGATTTGAGTGTCGCGTGTGATCTCCTGCTATGCACGGATGTTCTCGGGCTGGCCAAATGTCCCTAAGGTAGCAACAGAGTCTTCCCGGGTTAATTTATTTACTCTCTTTTTTTCTAAATGCCACTATTGTGCAAATGCTGAGCGGGTTGAGTGACCCCTAGCGAGGACAAAGGTCGCTGGCACATTCGTTAGGAGGCGTCTCTCTCCTGCCCTCTGCTGCGGCGTTACTGCACCTGCATGCAGATCGATGGTCACAGTCAACTCCCGACATAACAAAATCTCCACAAACTCTCTCAAGGGGACGTATCCCCTGTTTTTTTGTACAGCACAAGATTTATACGCTTGGAAAATTGCAACAGGTGTGGAGCGGTGCCGCGATGATGGTTATCGCGCTGTGCGCTCTGTACCCAAAGACCTAACCTCGACATCCCCACCTCCCCCCACCTTCTCCTCTCCCCCATGCGACGCCTACAGACGCCGGCGGGGTCGGCGGCAGCTCGTGCGGCGACGGCAGCGGGCGGCCGGGCTGGCCGTCGGGCTCGGCGCTCACCACGCGCCTGCGTCGCATCGTCACGGCGTACCAGCGCTGCTACAAGCAGCAGCAGCAGCGGCTGCTGGCGGCGGCCAAGCCCGACCGCAGGCGGCGCCGCCGCAACGAGGAGCTCATCCAGGCTCGCGAGGCCGCCAAGACGGAGCGCCGGCAGAGGTGAGAGAGGCAGGCGCCGGCGAACTGACCGGTCCGGCCGAGAGTGACGGCGCCGGCCGCGACTTCTTGCCGCTTTCATACATTTTTGTTTGCCGTTCCAATACGGATGAAGTCGTTTACACGCCTCGCGTGCCTGATGATTGGTACATGCATCCACGAGATGTGTGCGGACGTGCGTGGAGCCTGGTGGGTGCGGTGGGGTGCGAGACCCCAAGGCTGACATTTCTCACTGATTATTTTCCGGGTCACTGGCAGACTTGGAGTAGGTGGCGCCGTGACTAGCGGTCACAGCCATAGCGAGAGGTATGCTGGATGTGCTGTGCCGGGTGCGGAAAAATATTTTCTCGTCCCAGCCGGCTGAAGTTCAGCCCTGGTTAGACCGCTCGCCTCTAGGTCAAAATATGTTGAGTTCAGATCCCTGTTGGGGTAATTGGGCGACCATCCTTGCCGGATCAAAAGCTGAGAGCGTCGCTTCCGAGGGAAGTTTCCCGAGCGAGTGCGTCAAGCGAAGTCACTCACCCCCTCCCTTCCTCCCTCGTTACGGGAACGTGGAATTTCCGGCCCAGGTGGACGCGCCGCGAGGAGACGGATTTCTACCGCGTGGTGTCGACGTTCGGCGTGGAGTACGACCCCGAGCGGCAGCAGTTCGACTGGGCGCGCTTCCGCGCCTACGCGCGGCTCGACAAAAAGACGGACGAGAGCCTCACCAAGTACCTGCTGGCCTTCCTCGCCATGTGCCGCCGCGTGTGCCGCATGCTGCCGCACGAGAGCGACCGTACGTAGCCAGCACGCCCGCCCGCACCGCGGTGGCCATCCTACTGTCGCACCCCACCTATTGTGTCCCGTCATCGCATAACGCCCCGCTGCATCCTTCGCATTTGTGTCTTTCTCGCCCTCCCCGTGTCCTTCTCACCTTCTCCGTGTCTTTCTCGCCCTCCCCGTGTCCTTCTCACCTTCTCCGTGTCTCTCTCGCCCTCCCCGTGTCCTTCTCACCTTCTCCGTGTCTTTCTCGCCCTCCCCGTGTCCTTCTCACCTTCTCCGTGTCTCTCTCGCCCTCCCCGTGTCCTTCTCACCTTCTCCGTGTCTTTCTCGCCCTCCCCGTGTCCTTCTCACCTTCTCCGTGTCTCTCTCGCCCTCCCCGTGTCCTTCTCACCTTCTCCGTGTCTCTCTCGCCCTCCCCGTGTCCTTCTCACCTCCGTGTCTCTCTCGCCCTCCCCGTGTCTCTCACCTTCTCCGTGTCTCTCTCGCCCTCCCCGTGTCTCTCACCTTCTCCGTGTCTCTCTCGCCCTCCCCGTGTCTCTCGCCCTACCGCATCTCCCCCGCTCACTGTGCGCACGTCCCTTGCCCACCCCTCTCCCTCTGGCGTCCACCTGCCCACCATCCGTGGCCAGGCCTCGTGGACCCGTCGCTGCTGCTGGCCCCCATCACGGAGGAGCGCGCGTCGCGCACCCTCTACCGTATCCAGCTGCTGCGCAAGGTGCGCGAGCAGGTGCTGCGCCACCCGCAGCTGGAGGAGCGCCTGCTGCTGTGCGCCCCCTCCTACGACCTCCCCGATTGGTGGGAGTGCGGTCGGCACGACCGCGAGCTGCTCATCGGCGCCGCCCGCCACGGAGTCAGCCGCACCGACTACCACATCCTGTGTGACGCCACGCTGCCCTTCCGCGAGGCGCAGCAGAGGTGAGCGCCGACGCCTGACCGGGCGCCAGCCGGACAACCCGACCAGACCCCGACGCCGTGGCAGCAGCGTGTGACTGGGCACGGCACGGTCGGCATCTAGCAAACTGTGAAAGGGATCACATGTTGGTGCCACAGGCCGACGGGCCCTGCGGCTGAAGATAGCTGCTCGTTCTTTCTCACGTACTCGTTTATAGACCCGTAGACTCGCATAGAGACCCGTAAACTCACATAGAGACCCGTAGACTTGTATATAGACCTGTAGACTCGCATAGAGACCCGTAGACTCTCATAGAGACCTGCAGACTTGTATATAGACCTGTAGACTCACATAGAGACCCGTAGACTCTCATAGAGACCTGTAGACTTGTATATAGACCCGTAGACTCGCATAGAGACCCGTAGGCTCGCATAGAGACCCGTAGACTCGCATAGAGACCCGTAGACTCGCATAGAGACCCGTAGACTCGCATAGAGACCCGTAGACTCGCATAGAGACCCGTAGACTCGCATAGAGACCCGTAGACTCGCATAGAGACCCGTAGACTCGCATAGAGACCCGTAGACTCGCATAGAGACACACATTCATCAACGTCAATCGATGCATCATTACGCCTCCACTCATAAGGAACGCCCTCACTGCTGCTGCTGGTAGCGAGAGTGAACGCTACTCGGCGCCAACCCAGTCACGTCTCTCGCCCCAGGTACATCCAGTGCCAGACGTCCTCCAGCACCAATAACGCCAACGCGCTGGCGCTACTGCGGCACCAACACCACCACCGTGCCGCAGCCTCCCCGGTGGCAGGGGACCCCCCCGACGAAACCGCTAATGGGGCGACGGTGGCGGCGGCGGCGGCGGTGGCTGGGCCGGACGGAGGGGCGGGAGGTCCCGACGAAGGGCCGGAGAAGGGCCCCGACGGGACGGCGCCGGCCGAGGGAGAGGACGGCGCCGTTGCCGCCGAGGCGCCGGTAGAGGTGAAGTCCGAGTCGAGCGAGGAGAGAGTGGAGAACTTCGGAGAGGCCGAGGTGCACGTGAAGGTACGACGAGCGTGGCGAGCGCGATGAAGGCAACGGGGGGTGATTGTGGTGGTGATGGTGTTTTTGGGAGAGGGCAGGGGCGGGATGAGCAAGGCCCGTGTTTCCCAAGTTTATTTGTGTCTTTGGGTTTTTTCAGCATTTGAAGCAATTGCCAGGACCCCGGGGTCTGTGCACCTGAACCCTGACCCCAACCGGACACCTTGCTCCCGCCCCACCCCCTCCATGTTTTCGTTTCAGTCGGAGCCGTTGGCCGAGGTGGACGCAGGCGTCGGGGAGCCGTCGGCGCCGCCGCCCGCGGATGAGGTGGAGGAGCCGAGGTCTGCCCCCAAACTCGACGGCACCGAAACGAAACCGGACTCCGGGGCCGTCACCGCAGAGCCCGACGTGCCAACGAAGCAGGAAGCGGCGGAGAAGCCAGAAGCGCCCACGAAGCGGGAGGATGACGAGCCGGTGGTGATGAAGCAGGAGGAGGACGTGCCTGTGAAGAAGCAGGAGGAGGAAGCATTAGGGAAGCAGGTGGAGGAAGCTTTGGGGAAGCAGGAGGAGGAAGCATTAGGGAAGCGAGTGGAGGAAGCTTTGGGGAAGCAGGAGGAGGAAGCATTAGGGAAGCGAGTGGAGGAAGCTTTGGGGAAGCAGGTGGAGGAAGCGTTGGGGAAACAGGAGGGGGAAGCTTTGGGGAAGCAGGAGGGGGAAGCTTTGGGGAAGCAGGAGGAGGAAGCTTTGGGGAAGCAGGAGGAGGAAGCGTTGCGGAAGCAGGAGGAGGAAGCGTTGCGGAAGCAGGAGGAGGAAGCGTTGCGGAAGCAGGAGGAGGAAGCGTTGCGGAAGCAGGAGGAGGAAGCGTTGCGGAAGCAGGAGGAGGAAGCGTTGCGGAAGCAGGAGGAGGAAGCGTTGCGGAAGCAGGAGGAGGAAGTGCTTTCCAAGGTGAAGCAGGAAGTGCTGGCCAAGGTGAAGCAGGAAGTACCGGCCGAGGTGGTGGTGGAGGAGAGCAGGACAGAGGAGGTGAAGGAGGAGGCGCGTCGCGAGGAAGCGCGGAGGAAGAGCAGTGAGGACGGCGAGGAAGACGACGAGGAGACGGACAGCGACGACGAGGAGAAGTCCGACTTCGAGTTGAAGGCTCGCGGTGAGCGGCGAGCGCTCGCCACGGCACGAACGCCCACGCACGCCACGCACACACGGGAGGGGACAACGCTCCCATCTGCAGAGGAGTTGGATGGAGACCAGTGCCGTACTGGCGGCTGCTGGCCACCGTGCGTTGTAACGTGGCCATCAGTCGGGATGAGCGGAGGAGAAGCATCGTGAGCACAGACTCCCACTACAGGGAAGCTAAAAGTGTTTTTGGGCACTTGGCTGGGGTCCTCGGCAGCTATCTGTGGCACCCAGGACCCCGCTCAAGGGCACCGATTCTCTCTCTCTCTCGTCTCGTTTTCGTGTCGTTACTTTCCTTGCGTCATCTCCTTCTCCACCCCCCCCCCCCTCCCCGGGTCCCCCTCTGGAGCAGGCGTGACCGGGTCTTTGCAACCCCGGGCGTTCGCCGACGAGAGCAACGCGTCATTCGGGCGCGGGGACGACACGCTGGACGACTCGGTGCGTGAGGAGGGGGAGTTGTGCCCGCCCGGATACCCCGACCCCCACCAGCCCATCTACACCTTCTCCTACTGGCCCAAGGTGCGTGATTGGGGTCAACATTGTTCGTATGCATGTACCTTGAACTTCTTTCGCACCGTACGTAGCCGACCGTGCTTGTCGGAGGTGTTGGGAGTTCAGCAGATGTTGCCCTTCTAGGTAATGGACTCCTCCCTGTCTGTAGGAGTGCGGAATTTCCACTGCTGCCCCTGCTGCGAGGGCTGCAAATGGGAGATGAGCAATCAATGCCATCGATGCTCATTCGGGCAGCGGGGAAAGCTCTTGAGGCTTTCCGTGCGATTATTTAGATGCATTTTTTGCACAAACTCATGACGGGTGTGGCTTTTTGGGGAGGTTTCCGCCTTCGGGAGGGCAGCACTTGACCTGGCACCCGCGCCTTAGCAACCGATCTCTGATTTGATCTCTGCCGCCTCTTTGCCGTGCCCAACAGGACCGCGTGATGATCAACCGCATCGACCAGATCTGCTACACGGTGCTTCGGGGCAAGTGGCCGTCGGCACGGCGACTGGTGCTGGAGGTGGTGGCCTCGACAAGCGCGGTTGCTGCGGTTGCCGCGGCAACGCCGGTGCCGGCACCAGCAGCGCCCCCGGTGGCGACCTTTACCCCCAGTGGCACGGACAGCCCGTTGGCCAACGACTCGCCGGCCCTGAGCATCGCCGAGGAGACGGGCGCTCCGTCTCCGCAGCTCGCCAAGGTGGGGGGGGGGGGGGGGGCGGCAGCACCGGCGCTAGCACCGGGGGCGGTGGGTTATGGTGACATGGACAGAGTTAGTAACGATTTTGATGATGGTGATGTTGCAGAGGGGTTGGTAATTGTCCTGCGTGGATGTTCGCAGTTGTGCCGTGCAGCTCTCCAATGTGGTGGTGTTGGGCTGTACCGCTGCGTGTCGCTTGGCACGATGTCCGACGTTTCGATTCCGGCAGTGAGTAAAAAGCAGCTCCCTATACCCGTGGCTCCATTTGGAAGAAAAAAAAAACGACACCACCAAATAGAGAGGAGAACTACGGATTCTTGAATCGAGTTGCATCCCTGAATGTTTTTTTAGGGAGGGTGGTGATGGTGGTGTTACTCGTGGTGGTGTCACTCGTGGTGGTGTTACTCGTGGTGGTGTTACTCGTGGTGGTGGTGTCACTCGTGGTGGTGTCACTCGTGGTGGTGTCACTCGTGGTGGTGTCACTCGTGGTGGTGTTACTCGTGGTGGTGTTACTCGTGGTGGTGTCACTCGTGGTGGTGTTACTCGTGGTGGTGGTGTCACTCGTGGTGGTGTTACTCGTGGTGGTGGTGTCACTCGTGGTGGTGGTGTCACTCGTGGTGGTGGTGTCACTCGTGGTGGTGGTGTCACTCGTGGTGGTGGTGTCACTCGTGGTGGTGTCACTCGTGGTGGTGTCACTCGTGGTGGTGTCACTCGTGGTGGTGTTACTCGTGGTGGTGGTGTTACTCGTGGTGGTGGTGTTACTCGTGGTGGTGGTGTTACTCGTGGTGGTGGTGTTACTCGTGGTGGTGGTGGTGTTACTCGTTTGGCTTGCGCTCACAACGCCCACTTTGCGTTGCGCGTCTAGGAATCCGTCAGGATTCGTGCAGCGCGCTCAGCAGTGGCGGTGCCGTGAGACGGATCGCACTTAGGGGGCGGTGCCACGCAGAACATCTGCCACGGGTGTCTGGATCGAGCGAATGATCCGGCAGCGCGTCGGTCAACCGCGTCGCTGCGATCTCGAATCGTTCGCAGTTTTGTTCTTTTGAAGCGGTCTCTGCCGCTCTGCTGCCCTCTCCACCGTCGGCTGCTGCCAGCGCTTACCGCCACTGCTGCTGCTTTGAATCGCGTTCCCTCCTATCGCATGCTCTGCTAAAACGTTCATCCCCACGCTCATCGTTCGTTAGTTTCTCTGTGCGGATTTGTACTTAATTACTGGTTGGCCCGGCCAGCTGGCCGGCCACCCCCGCGGATCGCTTGTTGTCTGGACCTGAGAGCTGATGGAGCCGGATTGGTTTGCCTTTTGTTGTAATTGCTCCGTTATAACCTCACGTGACTTTGTGTTCTGGGCTGTGTCGCCCCCACACCCACGGTGCTGCGCTCGATGGCAGCAGCAGCCCCGCCGGAGCATTTAGGTCCCACGCCAGACTAGAGGGAGTCTTGGAACAGTTGCAGATCAAACGGAATTATTGACGATTTTCTTTTTTTATTTTACCAGGTGAGTCCCACTGAGTTGTATATAGCTCTTCACAAGCGACCGGACCACAAATGATAGCTCAACAAAGTGGCTTATCACGTGGGAATTTATTTCAGCCAAATACACGATTGGTGTCGATTGTAAACGTGGACGGAAAAACCGGAGAATCTGGAGAAAAATCCACATAACCACGGAGAGAGAGATATGCACACTCCGAATATACAAGCGTCGGGGTTGGGATCGAACCCCCACAACCTCCTGTATACCAGGCGAGGTCGTTCACATCTAGCCACCGCGGCACCCAAATAATGCGAATGTGATGTACGTAGCGGTGTGATTTAGGGCTGGGGAAGACTTTGAAATAACTGTGGAGAGAAACGACACATTGACACGTGAAGCTCCGCCGCTGGCGTCACCGTAGGAGACCCTTGGTGCCATTGCTCACGGTCTGCGGGGACCCTACCCCTCCATACGCCGGCTCACCCCTCCGCTCCTTCCCGTGGCTCCCCTACCCTTTCGTGATCCCCAAGTACCCCTCTATCGCCGCTCACTCATTCCTCAATACCTTGTAGCACGCCCTTGCCATGTAAATAATTCCATTCTGTCCACCGTTTTGTAAGCTCTGTCAAGTGCCTTGAGTGAAAGCGCTCTTTACAAACATATGTACTCTTTGGTTCTTTCGGTAAAGTCACGGTACTTTACCGAAAGAACCAAAGAGTAATTCCTGCAGCCACGAAAGCTTCAAATATATGTACACAAGTCTGAAATTAGATTAGCGAGCGCTCGCGGTGACGGGAGCCACTCCGGCCTCGGCCCCGACCCTAACGTCTGCCTCGTCGTGCAGGACGACGACCTCAAGCTCCCCTTCCACAAGCAGCGGCGCAAACGGCGCAAGAAGGCGGAGATCGAGGCCGAGCAGGTGGCCAAGCGGCGCAGCCTCATGGACCTCATGGCGCAGGCCATGGACCCCACCAAGGCGCCACCGGTGGCCCCGGCGGCGGCGGCGGCGGCCGCCCCGGCGACGATCGGCCTTCCGGACGAGCTGTGGCAAGACTCGGCCGTCGACCTCTCGTTCTTCGCCGCCGAGAGCGGCTCGGGTTCCGTCGGCGCGGAGGGCTCGGCGCCGGCGTCCAGGGGCAATGCCGGCACGGCCGCCGTCCCCTCCCGGGGGGCCCCGGCCGATGTGCTCAAGGCCCGCCTGGACGCGGTGCTGCAGGCGCGAGCGCTGGCCTCGGCCGGATCGGCGGCGGCGGCGGCGGCGGCGAGGGCCGGCCTCAACAACGGCGCCCTGACGGGCGGGGACGGCACCGCCGCGAGGGACGCGCTGGGGGCCGGCAGAGTCGTCCGCAAGCGCCGGGGCCGCAGGAAGAACGTGGAGGGGTTTGACCTTAGCCTCATGACGAGCCACAAGCACGGCGGAGCGGTGAGCGGGGGGCGGGGGTGTGAGATGTCGCCCATGGGGGTTACGTGGGTCACGGGGGCTTATTTGACCATACTTCAACTCGCCACAAAACACGACGGGTAAAAATTAAAAAAAGCGCATCGAATGAATCCGAAACCAAAAAATTACAAATTCTGCCCAGTTTTCTGATTGTCCGTCATTGTGGAGCTGCCCTGGTTGCGGTTTAATTCTTCAACCATTTGAGTGACACGAAAATAGTTCAAATAAAATAAAGCCTCTCCTCTTCCCCACTTTTTTATGGGCAGGATTTACAGAGACGCAGGACGTTGGCCCGGCTGCTATTTGTTGGAGTGGTGCGACTCGTCACTCATAATAATGGAAGTTAATAAAAAAAAAACATGTTGACCCATCGGCTCAATAGCCGAATCGTGCACCTCAGCTGTGTCTCACTCCCTCTTGACACAATTTTCCACGCAGGACGACGCCGATGGCGCCAAGCCGGTGGACGAGGCGGCTGCCGCGGCGACGGCGGCGGCCGTCACAGCGGCGGCGACGGCGGCGGCGAGCGTGCCCGTGGTGTCGGCGGCGGCGGCGGCACCGGCCGAAACGCCGGAGTCGCGAGTGCCGGTGGTGAGCCTGCAGGATGGCACCCGCCTGGCGGGGCATGACGCGCCATCACGGCGCCAGCTGGAGGAGTTCCTCAAGCAGAACCCGGCGTACACCGTGGACATGGCCAGCCTGCTGCCGGTACCAACACAACGCCCCCCCCACCACCCTTCCTCTTCCTCCTACCCACGTGTGACCTTGATCACACAGATGTGCGGAGGACTCCACACCTGTGTGCCACACCGACCATCAAAAATCATGTTTTTTTGCGGAGATACAAACGCCCAATTTCTCTATTGGTTGCCAAACACGGCTTTCAAATTCCTTGGGCGGTCCACGTGTGCCATTAGCGCATGTTACCCCACCACCACGTCCGGTACAGCGTGGAAGAGTAGACCAAATACCCTCTAGAGCTCCCTCTGGTGGAGTAGGCCCTTCCGCCAGGCAATTGCAGGACTCCACCTTCATCCTTGCACCGGTTGTGGCTGTGGTGCCATTTTGTGTTTGCCACCGTCATCGGCGCCGCCGGCCGTGCCGTGCTAATTAGCCCGGCCCTGGCTCGTTCAATGGGGGCGGCTCGGGGTCAGAGGTTACGGAGAGAGCTGCCGTGGGCGAGGCTTTGTCGGGAGTGGGACCCCCGTGGATGAGTCGATCGGAGAGAGATGACGCGGATTGATTGGAGGCCTCGCGTTGGTGAACGTGGTGATGTCTCCGCCACTTAGTGGCAAATGGTGGTTGTTGTTGGCGGTGATGGTGTTTGTATTGATTTTGTTTTGATATCCCCTCGTTGCGGCTCTGCAGAGCGCCAGCGGCCTCCTGGTGGACCCCCTCGACAAGCCGAAGAAGAAGCGCCACCGCTGCAAGAACCCGCACAAGCTGGACGTGCGCAGACTCACGGGGGAGGAGCGCGTGCCCGTCGTCAACCGCCGCTCCGCCAAGAAGGTGGACACGGGCGCCGTCACGAGCAATGGTGGTGGTGTTGGGAGGGTACTAGTGGTGGTGGTGGTGGTGATGGTAGTGGAAAGGTACTAACAGTGGGAGGCGGTGGTGATGAGGGTGGCTGTGGCGGTGAAGCAGGTTACTGGTAGTGCTGGTGAAGTGGGGAGCTGTGGTGCAGCGGTTAGCGCGCTGCGCTACGAATGCAGTGACGGGAATTTTTTAATCGATCCTGGCCCTTTCCGAGGTCTACACGGCCATGAATGAGAACCTGGCGCGGTGTCCAAACATCGTCACGCGGGAGACCAAGGCGAGACCGTCCGTAGTGATGACCACCCACCGCGCCTCGTGTGCCGTGCCGACCTTCATAGGTGCTCTAAAACGTTCTATGGGGGATCTTTGTCTTTTGTTTTAGTTATGAGAGTGGTGTTGGTGGTGACAGTGGTGGTAGTAAAAGTGGTACTAATTGTATTGACCCGAGAGGCATGATATGCGCTGAATGGCCGGTGAGCCACAGGTCAGACTGCAGGCCAGCAATAAAAACTGATTATATCATTCTTTGGCTGACATTGACCTTTCCGCTAAAACACCGCCAACCTCCCTTACACACGGCGACTGCCTGTTGTATATATATTACAAAAACAAAGGCCTCACTTCTTCTCCCCATCACCAACATTCACTGGGTAACAATATTAACATCGATCTCTGGGAGAAACTGCTGCCGCATTGCGATCAGCGGGCGGCGATATGATGCCACGTTGTTCCTCCTGCGTCCATTCATCTCCTCTTTGCTCCCCCACCCCCTACACCCCGCCCCACCTGTTCATCCTTTACCCCGACCCCAGATGGGCGGTGCGATGGCACCCACGCTCAAGGAGCTGGCGCGGTGGCTGCAGGAGAACACGGAGTTCGCCGTCCCCGACGACTGGGGCGAGGTCGTCAAGCAGTCGGTGAGTGCCGCCCCCACCCACCCCCATCATCATCGTCGTCATCACTTAATATTTACAATGCACCTCCCACACAGTGCATCTCAGGGGGGCTCCCCCTTTGGGAGCTGGCCGTGTGTGGCACAAGTGTAACGGGACACTGGCTTGCCGAGTGGGCCTTCCGGGCGATGCTACACTGTTGCGTGTTTTTCTCCAATTAAGTTATTTACCGCATCTTTTCAGATGAACGTTGTGAATGTTAAATGTCTGCTGTGAAGCGGACGGGGTGGGGGGGGGGGGGAGCGTATGTCGGTTAATCCACCCTCGTGGTATTAACCGGGGCGGCCGCTGACCCCGCACCGCAATTCTCGGCAGTGAGCGTGCTCCCGCTCGGTCATGTCGCCACCCTACGCCATGTCCACGCCGTTGCCAGGACCTGGGTTCATTTCGCCAGCATGTCCAATTTCGGCCCTAGTCTTCGTCTAGTTCAGGGGTCGACAACTTGCGGATCTTTAAGGACCGCTTCTTCGTGACGTTATTTATTAAGGACCACTGTTTCTTATTCTCACATGCATTGCTGCTTTTTTTACCGACGTGTGTGGCCTTTCAGTCAAGTTCGAGTCTGTGAGTTTACGTCGGTCATTCTCCTACCAGTCTAGTCGGCTTAAGCAGTCGCATGTTTAGTCAGCCGCATGCTCCGTGCCAATCTCTCAATCTGCGCGTTCTCACGCTCACTCTGTCCGTCAGGGCTTCCTCCCCAACGCCATGTTCGGCCGTATCCTCACGGGCCCCGTGGTGCCGGAGGAGGGCGCGCGCCGGCGCGGGCGCCGCCCCAAGGCCTCTGCGCTCCTCAAAGCCTCGACAAACTCCCTCGTTGGCGGCGGCGCCGGCGGTGGCGCCGGCGGCGGCAGCCTCCTTTCGGCGAGCACCGGCGACCTCGCGAACCTCGCGAACCTGCAAAGCCTGCACAGCCTACAACTCGCCAGCCTCATGGGCTTCCCGACGGCGCTGGGCGGCGGCGCCGGCTCGTCGTCCGACGACGTGAAGGCCGCGGCCGCTGCGGCGATGCTGCCCATGATGCTGCCGGGGTTGGGGCCCATGTTCGGCCTTGGAGGGCTCCTCAACACGGCGCTAGCGTCCTCCGCCGGCGCCGACGCAAACGGAAAAGCGGACGGGGAGCAGGGGACTTCCTCTTCGGCGGCGGCGGCGGTGATGGCGGCGTTGCTGAACGATGGGAAAGACGGCGGCGTGGACGAAGACGGCGCGCCGGGCACCAGCGGCAGGTCGGCGGCCGCTACCGCCGCCGCCACGGCAGCGTTCAACAGCAACCTGCTGGCGTCCATCAGCCCCTTCCTGCTGTCCCCGCAGCTGCTCTACCCCTCCATGTTCCCACTGTCGGGCCTGGGCGTGACTCTGCCCGGCTTTGCGCAGCAGCAGCAGCAGCAAGAGCACCAGCAGCAGGAGGAAGAGCAGCAGCAACTGCTGCAGCAGCAGCAGGCGGGAATCGCCGTGAGTTCGACGCCGAGTAGAGCCCGTTCGAGCGTGGGCAAGGGCGCCGGCGTGACGGGCAAAGCCAAGAAAAAGGCCGCGCTGAAGCAGGCGGCAGCAGAGCAGCAGCAGCAGGAACAGCAGCGGCAGGAGCTGGAGCAACAGAAGCAGCAGCAGCAGCAGCAGCTGCTGAAAGTTGCGAAGAAGCAGGGGCGCGGGGAAATGAAGGAGGCGAAAGCACTTGCGGCCGCACGGGCAGAAGAGGAGGAGGATGACGACGACGATGACGACGACGACGATGACGACGACGATGACGACGATGACGACGACGACGACGACAACTCGTCAGACGACAGCAGCGGTGAGGAGGCGCTCAATAAGACGGGACTGTCGTCGCTCACCGAGGACGACTCCACGTTGCTGGACGACTCCGACTCGGACGCCGGCGCCGAGTGAAGCGCCGTGTGCCCCAAGGGGAATGGCAGGAGGGGGGGGGGGGCGTGCGGACGTCGGCCCCTTTGCCCTTTGCCCCCCGCCCCCCGCCCTGTCGGAGCGGGCCCGGTTGGTTGCTCGCTGCGGCGGTGGGGGGGGGGTGGTGGCGGTTTAGCTGGAGCGGGATTTAATTTCAGCGATGCCACGGTGTGGCCGCCAGTTTTCCAGAAAAAAATGTAAACTTCAGGAATCCTTTATTTTTACTTTTTCCTTTTTTTGTAATGGACGACGATGGTCTTTCTTTCTCATTTTTGTTAATTACGTTCCCTCTGCGACTGCTCGGCACGTGTCTACCCGACCCCAATCTCCCCCGCCCACTTCCCTCCGGGCATCTCAGCTCTCCAACCCGTGCCCACCGCCCCCAGCATTTGTCGAATGAATAATTGAACAAACCGGCATCGATTTGGACGCACCGACTTGCCATTTCTTGGCTCCCGAGCGCCGTCACCGGACGCCGCCGCCACCCACCGCCCTCCCGACCGCGGGAGCGCGAGCCAGGCGAGGGAACTTCACCGCACCCCGGCAAACGCAGTGACGACAACGATCATTTTGGACGTGCGGAGGTGGTGGTGGCAGCGGCCGCGTGGTCATTCGCCCGTGCCGCGATTGTGCCGGTACCGGTGTGTGCGAGTGTGTACAGTGCGAGCGTGCGAGTGTGTGAATGAGCGCCAACGTGCGCGCTGCGTTAAGCGGCGAGTAAATCCGGGTTTAATCTTCCAACGGGCATTGCTGACTAGAGCCGGGCGTGCGTGCGTGCTTGCCCGCCCGTTCACTTGCTCGCCCGTCGCCCCCCAACCCCACGCTCGTCCCTTGCGTCACCCCGTGAACGAGCGGAGGTGGACGCTCGGGTTATGAGCGAGCGAACGTCACGTGCGCACGCACGCACGCCCTTTCCGCTCTCACCTCGAGTATTCAGGTATCTTTTTGTTTTAGTTTATTATTTTTGATTTCGTAATACTTCCTTGAGTCAAACACTGTTAAAAAATAATAATAATCACACGAGACACTATCTTATCACAGGTAATAAAAGCGATGACGGCAAAGTCGATCGGCTGCGGAAATAAGAAAAACACAAAACCAATGAACGAAAGGGGAGAGACGCAAACCTCTCTCCCACGACCGCAGTACTCGCTTACGACGTGAATGTGCATGGGGCCGGCCACGTGCCTGCCTTTCCCTAACACTGATTGTACGCGACTTTACTACAATTCACCGACACGCCGCCGCCGCTGCTGCTGCTGCAGCTGCAACAGCGGCGACAGCTGCAAGGAGGGTGAAAGTTTTTAAGTGAAACGGCCGAACCTGAAGGGGACTCTTTTTCTTCCCCAGCGAATCCCGCCAGGAGCAGAGCCTGGCGCGTGTCTGTGCGTAGCTTGTTAATGACGTCGACAAGTGATTTAATATTGTAATAAGAATAACGATGACGACGACGACAATAATGTTCATAATAATAAGAGGGAATCTGAGTGTCCCCCCCCCTCCCTCTTCCCCCACCGTGTGACTTTGTTAGTTATAGGCAAGTGGACATGAATGTTGAATTTGTTTTTGAATTAGTTGAAAGTTTGTAAATCGGCATGAAGTTTTTGCAGTGTAGCCAAAACAAATGGGAGAAGAGGAATACAAAAAAAAACACAACACACAAAAAAATAATGTAAAACCTTTAAAAAATATATATAAAAACTGGCCCCTAGCGTGTTAACGACGATAGCTGTCTTTAGTTGACGTGCATTAGGATGACTTAGAGCGAATGTAACGTACATCGGGGAGTTATATATCAGCGCCTCGTTGATTTCTCTATAGTTATTTTTATTTGATAATCGACCCGGCCGTGTGTATTTTTTAAGTCGGACCATCAGAATGTGACTGTGGCCGCAGCAATAACCCCGGCAGCTATAAATCGGGTTACCGGGTCACCGGGTCACTGGCCATCGGTTCAGAGGGACTTGGACCCTCGGGTTGGGTGACCTTTTTAAACAGAACAACCCGTTCAACTTTTCACCACTGACAAATAACGGAAAAAAAATCTGAAGTGATGGAATAACTCATCAGGTAGCACTACTCAGAGATCTCGCGATTTGTTTCGTTATTTTTTTTATTTAGGTTTTAATTAATTTGTTTTGTTTTTTCTCAAAGATGTATTTTAATAGAATTACTCGCGGTGCACTGTGACTATTCAGGTACTCCTCCGTGCTCTGGCCCCACGGCCCCGCTGGTCTCCTCCAGGGTCCCGTTTCCCCGCGGGAAGGGGGCCGCAGTGTTGCGCAAGCACGGGGTTGGGGTTGTCGGGGCCGGTTGTGTTGTTAAGGGAGCCCCCCCCCCCCCCCATACAGATTGGCGTAATACAAAGAAAGAGCCCCCCCCCTCCCCCACCTTGCTCCTCTGCCACAGGGAGTGTCCTACGTCTGACCACCTCCAGCTCGCCTAACCCTCCGTCCCTCTCTCACCTCCTTCTCTCACCCCCTATCTCCCGTCCCCTCCCTACAGCCAATATCATATCCTCCGTGATTAAAAAGACGCTCTGGAAAGTAAGAGGCACCGCAAACTGGTGCCTGGTGGCGGTTAAGCTTTTTTTTTGTTCAAATCCGGTCTCTCTCGCGCGCACACAGCTCCCGGGGATTACAAGACTCATCCCTTAGCTTTTAAGCTACTCTATTCTGACGCATGATGGCAGCACACATGGTCAGGGGCTGACTGTCGAAGCCACGGTGAGAGGGCAACTTTAGCTTTAAAATACAGAGGGGGAGGGATGGGTGGGGGAGTGTGTCTTGCAATCTGTAGAATACGGTCCCCGCAGACCGGAGATAAGACACAGATGTCGTCGTCCTCTCCCCGGAGGCGCCCGTGGTAAAGTGCAGCGCCGATGGCCAGGCTTGTGCTCGGTAGAGCGGGAGAGGGGGTGTCCGCTGCTCCACCCTTACCCCTCACCTCTCACCCCCATGCCTCCACCCCACGCCCCCGGAGCCTCTGAGTTTTGAGTGGCTGGGGTGGGGGTGGAGGGCGGTGGGACAGAAGGCAGAGGGCCAGGATCAACTCCTCTGGGGAGTTGGAGCTGAGTGCTGGTGATGATGAGTGTTGGAGGGTGAGTTTGGGGGCGGATTAGTGGAGAGAGGAGGGGGTGGGGCGCAGTGATGAATGAATCTCTCACCAGCGTGTCCGGTATGGTGTGATGTGCGCGCGAGTGTGCGTGAGTGAGCGAGTGTGTCGGTGAGCGCCCGCGCGCTCGCACATTTGCTGTCTGTGTATTGAATGTGGTTTTGTGAGTGTGGGTAATGAGTGTGAATAATTGATTGTGTGTTAGGTGCGTATTAACTGTAGGGCTGTTTATTCTGCGACGGTGTGACAGTGTGCGTTCAATGTGCTCACGGTGAGACGTGTGGCCCTCGTGGTTGCGTCAGTGTTGGAACTGAGCGGCATTAATCAGTTTGTGGCAGTGGGCGAGTGTGATTACGGGTGAGGTGTGGCCGCCTGGGGTGTGAATTCAAGTGTTGGGGAAGTATAGAGGGGGAGGGAGGGGTGCTTGCCTGCAAGGCCGCCCTCCCATACTCCCCAAGTTGCTCTCAAACACGCAACCCCTCCCACGTACGCCACCCCGACCCACTCGCCACACCAATCCGGACTCGAACCTTAACGCCCTCACCACATGGCTCCTACACCCTTGGAGGAACATCTGGCAAGACTGTAGCCTCCTTTTTGCCTTTCGGGACACGGCCCTGGTTATTTATTATTACCTCATGCTGAGCAGATATACGTATATTGATTAAAAAATAGAAAAATACAAAAAAAAGTACAAAAAATCTTGAAAAGACCGCCGCGTGCGTTTTACTGTGACGCGCGCCGGCCACGTGTAAAGGTGTACATTGTAGCTGCTGTAATCGCGTGTAGTGTGTAGCGACATGTAAAGTACAGACCTCGAGGTAACCTCATCATCCTCCGCGCGCTGCGCCACCGATGTTACAAACGTGCTGAATGTTGGAAGGAAAAAAACCACAGCGCACGCTCCGGTTGGGTTGACGTTTCCGTTTTTTGTTTTTATTTGTTGGTTTTATTGTTTCTCTCTCTAGGTGTGCGTTTGCATTTGCTCCTCTGGAATATTTGTGTTTTTATTTTCCTTCAAGCACAAGGTGACTGTTTCAGAGTTGTTGTTTCCGCGAGGCCGTGAAAGCATCTCTCAAGATTTCACAAATCATGTGGTGGGGGCTGCTGCTGCTGGTAACATGGCAAATTCCGCTGTTCTGCCTGCCCCACTCATCGCATCATGCTTGTCACGAACCGACCACGTAACACTACCAAACTCGCTGCAATTTCATTTGAATCCCGCCAGACCTTACCTTCAACCCTCAAAACCCTGAAAAACCCTTCCTAGCCTCAGCAAAACACACCACAACCCCCACTAATCCAACCAAAACACCACCATAACTCCACCAATCCCACCGAAATCCCAGTGTAATCCCACCATAGCAAAATCAATTCCACCGAAACCCCACCATAACCCCACCAATCCCACCGAGATCCCGCTGAAACCCCACCGTAACACATCCAATCCCACCGAAACCCCACCAATATCCCCGAAACGCCACCAATCCCACCGTAACCCTCGCCAATCTCACCGTAACCCCCACGAATATCCCACCATGCTCGCTGTTACACTACCAAATCTATCGCATCTCACAGGAGCCCAGCTTGATTGGCACTCCACCCAAACCCACTCGAATCACCAGCAAAATATATCCTCTTCTGACACTACCAGTTCCTCCGAGACCGCCCCTCCCAATCCCTAAAAAAAAACCCACCCCCGACCCCAGCAAACGCCGACCGCACCACCCGCGCGTCATCTCACTCGCGTTGCCGCCGCTGCTTCCTCGTGCGCCGCGCGCCGTCATCGCTGCGTGTTGTGCGCGCGCGCGTGCGTGTGGTTTTTTTTTGCGTGCGTGTTCTCATTGTGTTCGTGGGCACGTTCACTGTGTCCGCGAGTAACAGTCGCGGGGCCGTTTGTCCGTTCGCGGGCTTGCTTGTTGTTGCTGCTGCTGCCGCCGCTGCGGGCAGGCAACTCTGCTTCTCAACACAGCCGCGCCCGCGCTTTGTACAAAGCGAGAGAGAGCGGGGAGAGATGAGAGAGTAAGAGTACTAATCTGCGTGCTGCCCCCCAAGCCACCCCCATTGTGCCCCCCTCTTCCCACTGTGCCCCCCCCCACCCACCCACATCTCCGCTTAGCCCCGGATTGGAAGCGGTGAGCGTGAATTTCTGCACCCGCAGTAGCGCAGTTACTGCCCCTGTTGTTACCCCCCCCCCGTCTCGTGTGTGAATTACGTCACAATGAAATGCAGTCAGATTTCCTCCTCATGGTTGTTTGTAATTTATTCCTGAGTTGTAGATCAGAATTTGGGAGCCGATATTTTTATTAAAACTCATTCTTTTTTGCCAAACTGTGTCAATGGGAGTTATTTTGTTATTCATGGTATATTTACACAACACAGGTGTACCCACGTGCATACCCTTAACAGACTCTTGGGGCATCGCGAACACCACCTATGAAGGCCGCTACGGCACACACAACGGGGTGATTGGCCACCACCGGGCCTGGCCGCCTTTGTTTCCATCGTGGGCGATGCTGATGTATCGCACCAGGTACTCATTTGAGGACGAGCCGACCTAGAGGCGGATAAGCACCAGGTTTAGATATTAGTCACTGGTGTGTCGGTGGCACTAAGCGGGAATCGAACTCGTGATTTATTGGGCACGGTGCAAATGTGCGAGTCGAGTGGGAATCTCGGCTTAAATCGCTGACCCCCCCCCCCCCCCCCCCCTTAATTCATCCCTCCCCGTGCCATCTCGCCGTGTTGACGCCACAGGGAAAGATAATTGGAATGTCTCCGCTTACCACGGCGGGGGCACGCTGACGGGGATTGGTTTATGGGAGGGGGAGACCCCATCCGAGGAATTTAAACGCTTCTCTCAGAATTTCGAGGCATTTTTTAAAAATGTTTTGGTTACGGCTGAGTAGCTTCGGCCGTGGTAACCACAGCCGGTTTGTGCCGGGTCGGTGGTAAAATCCTAAACGCGGGCGGCCTGCTGGAGGTGGTGGTTGGGGCCGGTATAGACCAGGGCTCGGTTGGGTAACAAGGCCGAACGGGGTATCACGTTCGGCCGCTTGTTGCAGAGGTTTATGGTTCAAGTCCAGCGGCTGCTGTCATGGCCGCAGGCATAATAATGATAGCCTTTTAAAATACTACGCTCCATCTGATTCACAGCCGATGCTAAAGATGCCGTGATGACGTTTAGCAAGAGGCCATTGTGTGCCAGTGTCATGGTCAAAATTTTCCCATCAGATTTTTAAAATAAAGCAATCCCGCAAATGACTCTACCTCTATCGGACCCTTTTTTGCCAGTGTCAAAATTATGGGGAAAAAAATAATACATTTTACCCTTTCCGGCAATAATACAGGTCTTGATTTGAAGCTTTCGTGACTGCAGGAATCCATCCTCTTTGGTTCTTTCGGTAAAGTCACGTAGTTATAAGAACCAAAGAGTAGTGCAGGAGGTGTTAAGATGTTCAAACACCAAACAGATACTCGCTGCAAGGCATCGAGTCTGCAGTAACCACTCATGCTTGTGGTAAAACATGCAAACAAGCATGCTCTGTTAAGACATCAGAGCGTGTCTGATGCGAAGAACGTGGGAGCATGCTTGCATGTTTTGCCACAAGCACGTGTGGTTAATGCGGACTTTTGATGCCGTGCAGTGGGGGTGGTGCCTCTCTGGTGTTTGAACATCTTAACACCTGTATTATTGCCGGAAAGGGGTAAAAAAAACATTTGTGTTCATCGCTCCTTTATGAATATAAATAGCGGTCATCTCTCCCGCTGCGGCAACTTGGCAGGACCCTGCATCGCCCTTCTCGCAAACGATGGCACTCGGCGAATCTTCGGTGCGTCGGACGGAATCTTTCAAATTGAGTGAAATCGCGCCTGCTCGTATGCGAATCGGTGTCAATTTAAAGGGAGTTTTACATCTATGGGACTTTCTTTGCCAGTATCAAAGTGGTGAAGAATATAACGGGGTGTTTTTACTCCGTCGTGATAAAAACCGGGCGTTAAGATGTTCAAACACCACAACATCGGTGGAGGCCAATCCGTTTCACAGACGATGCGTGTATTATAATCGGAGCATGTTTGTTGGCATGCTTTGCCACAAGTACTGTGTGGTTAATACAGACTTTTGATGCCTTGCAAAAGGTTTCTATTTGGTGTTGGAACATCTTGACACCTTTTTATTGCCCGAAAGGGTAAAACCTCTTCTTATTTTCCATCATTTTGGACACTGATGACACATCACTGCTCGACCCGAGTTCTGAGTGTTCTGATACTGGCATTGTCTTTGTTACTGTTCGCTTGTTGTCGTTCTCTGGTCTAACACTGGTGGTGAGACAAGGCCATGAAGAAGGCTGTCTCTGGTGTAGGCCAATCTGTTGCATAGAAAATGCATACATCAAGGCCGTAATTATAATATATATTGGGGGGGACACATCCCCTCCAATATTCAAATATGCTCAAAATGTCCCCCCCCCCCCACAATATGTTGCTATATATAAAAAAATTGCTATGCTATGTAAATAAAAACAACAATTTGCGAAACCTTGGCCACAATATCTGGACTTCATATAAATCAATGCATAGATTTCTGTTTATATGATTGTGGTCATGGTTGTACTTTATTAATCCCTAATCTCTGCCATTACATACAATGAAACAAGAAATGGTAAAAAAGTAAAAACAGAGCAATGTAATACAATACACTATTAGACATTATTGTAAAAGTAATAATAAAAAAGTCCATCCCATGTGTTAGTGAATTTTTCAATATTGTAGGCAGGAAATTAGTTTTAAAATGTAGATATTTTGTTGGGTTGGGACCCCCCAGACACCCTGGAAGATTTGGTCCCCCCCAATGTTGACTCCATGGCTACGGCCTTGGCTTACGTTATTATCAGAGCATGTTTGTTTGCATGTTTTGCCACAAGTACGTGTGGTTAATGCAGACTTAATGCCTTGAAATACGTATCTATTTGGTTTATGAACATCTATGAACACCTGTTTTATTGCCGGAAAGGGTAAAACTTGTTTTTATGCAACTGACAACCGCGCTTCATTTCGGACGGAGCTGCCAGGGCCCGAGCTCCAGCACATCGCAGGATCGCGAGAAGTGGTTGACGGTTTGAGGCCTTCATCCAGCAGTGGATCGACCATGGCTAAGCGATGACTGTGCTGTTGTAGGTGCAAACGCACTGCGCGGACACTGGGTGCCTTTTGATGCAGTACAGCAACGCGGGACAAGTGTTCCTGCGTGTCCCAGAGGTGTCCAGCTTGAAGCGAACGCTGCTTGAAGTAACAATCCCATGGGTGTGGAGGCTAATGTGTTGCATGGCTTTGAGGTGACCCAGACCGGTACCTATCAAGCGCATCACAACCCCCGACCGCGACTGATGGAAGTGTTTGTAAAGTAGAAAAGGTCTGTTGGGCTTGAAGGGTCGAGGCTAAGAGTACGGGTTAAGGTCGTTAGGGTGATGGCCATTGTGTTAGGGATGTAGGGGTGTTGGGTTTATGGCGAAGTGTTGTGGTCAGGGCTGCATGTTGGGGCAAGGGATATTCGGTGAGTGTTAAGGCGAGGGGCCAGCGAGGGAAATGGCAAGTCGTTAGTGATAGTTATGGCGAGGGCTCATTCTTTGGGATGGTTTGCTCGGGATAGTTATGGCTAGTTATCTCGGGGTGGTTATAGCTAGTTCGGTTTGGTTGGTTAGTGCGAGTTGATATGGCTAGGTCTAGCTGCCTGGACTGGTAGTCCGGCTTGGTATATGGCTCGTTATGGTTGGTTGAGAGTACTCGTTGGAGGTGGTTGCTATGGGTACCGTAGTTGGGTCGTGTTGGTTGCTATGGGTACCGTAGTTCGTGTTGGTTGCTATGGGTACCGTAGTTTGGTTCGTGTTGGTTGCTATGGGTAACCGTAGTTTGGTTCGTGTTGGTTGCTATGGGTAACCGTAGTTTGGTTCGTGTTGGTTGCTATGGGTAACCGTAGTTTGGTTCGTGTTGGTTGCTATGGGTGGGTAACCGTAGTTTGGTTCGTGTTGGTTGCTATGGGTGGGTAACCGTAGTTTGGTTCGTGTTGGTTGCTATGGGTACCGTAGTTGTTGGGGGTGAGGGCGAGGGGGCTTTCGGCCGCGACCCCCACCTTGCCGTGAAGTCGCGCAACGGATTCCTCGCGCATCGCCACAGGGGAGCCATGGCGACCATCCCTCACTAACATCCCTCACGAACATCCCTCACGAACAATTCCTCACGAACAATCCCTCACGAACATCCCTCACTAACATCCCTCACGAACAATCCCTCACGAACAATCCCTCACGAACAATTCCTCACGAACAATCCCTCACGAACATCCCTCACTAACATCCCTCACTAACATCCCTCACGAACAATCCCTCACGAACAATCCCTCACAAACATCCCTCACTAACATCCCTCACGAACAATCCCTCACGAACAATCCCTCAGGAACATCCCTCACGAACAATCCCTCACGAACAATCCCTCAGGAACATCCCTCACGAACAATCCCTCACGAACAATCCCTCACGAACAATCCCTCACGAACATCCCTCACGAACAATCCCTCACGAACAATCCCTCACGAACAATCCCTCACGAACAATCCCTCACGAACAATCCCTCAGGAACAATCCCTCAGGAACATCCCTCACGAACATCCCTCATGAACAATCCCTCAGGAACATCCCTCACGAACAATCCCTCAGGAACAATCCCTCAGGAACATCCCTCACGAACAATCCCTCAGGAACATCCCTCACGAACAATCCCTCACTAACATCCCTCACTAACATCCCTCACTAACAATCCCTCAGGAACAATCCCTCACTAACATCCCTCACTAACATCCCTCAGGAACAATCCCTCAGGAACAATCCCTCACTAACATCCCTCACTAACATCACGCTGGAATGCGACGTTGCCCGCATTCCGATCCAGCCTCGCCGCCAAATTCGCGGCAAAGGACGTCGGAGGGGGTGGTGGTGGGGGTCAAAACATCTCCCGCCACACGTTAACATACACACCGCGTACAGTAGCATCGCCTTCCCTCGCCAAGACCATCATAATTATTATACTCATTAATTATATGGACGCGCGGAACTTTATTTAGGTACACACACGCACGCCGGTTGTGAATGTAGCACGCCTACGACACCCAGCGAGTTGTCGTTATCGGAGGTTGCGCAACTGTTGTCGGTTTCAACGAAATTCGTCCCAAAATGTCCAAGTGTTTGCGGCGTTGTTTGCTGCTGCTGCTGCTGCGTGCGATGGCAACACCGCGCTACAAACACAATAACATCCCTCGTGCGTTATTACGGAGT